TATGATTGGATCGTAATTGTATATTAAGCATATTAGCCTTATATTTTCCATAGAGATCACAAATATTTTTCTCATTTGGTTTTTGCTTTTTAGCTTTATGATGAGCCGCTCCTTTCATCAGTTGGCCATGGTTCAATAAAAACCAGTCACCATCTTTCTGGGTGGCCATCTGAGAAATGGTATTTCCCCTGTGGGCAGGGCCCATGTCTGTTTCAGTCATCATTGTATCGCCAGCATCTAGCATAGTGCCTGGAGTGAAATAGCTACTCAATAAATATGTGTTGGATGATTGACTAACTTCTGATTTGTGTCCCTGAGGGGAAGGCCAGGGTACTATCAGTTAGTTCCCTTCCACTCCTGCCATGTAGCTAGTCTGCTTTTGACCTAGTAATTCATGTCCTTTGACTCAGTAATTCCTCTTCTAGAATCTACACAAGAGAATTTTTCAGAGATGCAAGCAAAGATTTATATATGAGGATGTTCATCCCAGTCTCATTGACTAGTGAAAAATTGGAAACTATTTCTGGGAACATGGAAATGATACAAGTTACATGATAGATAAACACTGGAATGCTTTCTGGTGATGTGAGAAAATTTTTATGACATCATATCACAGGAAAAAAACTCAGAATGTAAAATTATATGTAAGACTTCTCAATTCTGTTAAGACTGGTAGGAAATACATCCAAAAAAATGTTAACAAGTGGTGTGTGAATTGGGAATGCTTTTAGCTCACAGGATGGGAAAACCTGACTTACGGTGCCTTAGGCATAGAGGGATTTATTTTTCTCTCATAAGTTGTCTGGGGGTCTGAAGGCCTGGCATCAGCAGCATGGTGATGTTGGGCTGGCATCTCTGCAATCTGCTTTTTATAATCACAAGATGGCCGCCCAGCTTCAGGCACCGTGTCCACATTTGAGGCAGGAAGGAGGAAGGGGGGTTGTCTGGGGCTTGCAGTGTCTGTCCCTTCTATTGAGAACGTAAGCCTACCAAAGAGCCCCAGCAGATTTCTGTTTATGTCTCTTTGACCAGAACTGTGTCCTGTGGCTGCCCCCAGCTACAAGGGAGCCCGGGAAAGTGAATATCTCGTTTTCCAGTCTTGAGAGTGGAGGTGGCAATGGGGAAGGGTTGGAAATATCTGTTAGGCTAGTTAATAAACGGTGTCTTCCATTGTATTTATTTCTGGTTGGAGGGCTTATGGATATATTTTTAAAAAATTTTATTGAAGTATAGTTGACTTACAATGTTAATTTCTGCTGTACAGAAAAGTGATTCAGTTATACGTATAGACATTATTTTTCACATTCTTTTCCATGATGGTTTATCACAGGATATTGAATATAGTTCCCTGTGCTATACAGCAGGACCTTGTTGTTTATCCATCCTATATATAATGGTTTCTGTCTGCTAATCCCAAACTCCCAATCCTTCCCTCCCCTCCCTGGCAACCACAAGTCTGTTCAGTTTATGAATATTTTTACTTTTCTTCTTGGTTCTCTTCTGTCTCGTCCAATTTTTCTACAGCAGCCATTTATCATTTCTATCATTGGAAGAATACAACAGATGCTACTTTAAAAATCCCTTGTGAGGTTGTGGACTCCTGTCTCTGGAAGTGTCTGTACTGTCATCAGTCAGAAAAGTGCAGAAGGAACTGTTGAATTCTGTGGGAGCTGGATTAGTCCATCTATCTTCCCCAGCAACTGAGACTACGGGGAATGGGTGGGTGGGGAAATCTGTCATTTATTTCGATCCTCTCAGGCACCACGCTAGCTACTCGGCAAGCGTCCCCTCATTTAATTCTCACAGCAGCCCTCCTTTACAGACGAGACACAGAAACTTTAAATTACTTAATTAAGGCACATATCAAGTAAAGCAAAGCTGGATCTCAGATGATAGCACCAAGCTTTAATTCTGTATATTCCTGCCACATAGTAAGCTCGGGAAACTTGTGCTGAATGAATGCAGTCAGCGAATCAATTGGATGTATAACGTTTTTTTTTAAACTACAGCCGCGACTTGATAATTATTTCTTGTAGAACATCTCTGGTACCATTAATTTTAATTAGTGTGATTGAAAAATAGCTGGCTGTATACATTGCCTGCCAGAGAGGAACCCTGTGCTCACTCGCCTGTAACTAATGTCCTTGACTAATTGCTGGATAAGTAACTCATATGACTCCAGATGAAAAGACTGCCAAGGGTTTGTCTCCCTTGGCAATGGAGTCTTTAAGTATTTTTATCATGAAAAAAATTCCAAACATATACGAAAGTAGAGAGCATGGTACCCATGTACCCATCACCAGCTTCAAGAATCATCAATGTTTTGCTAACTTTTTCATTTATTTCTCTTTATTTCATTTATTTCTCTTCCTCTTACTTTTTTTTTTCTTCTTTTTTTAAACTGGAGTATTTTCAAGCAAACCCAAAGTCTCATTTCGCCATGAACATTTCTATAATTGGAATGAAAAGGCTTTTGTGTGGCCCCGCGTTTCTCTTTCTTTAGATCTGCTATAGCACAGGAAGCGGTGATATAAAAGTCAGCCCAGGGGCACAAGGGTTTCTGGGAGGCCCAGGAGAGGAGGGGCGCATTCCTCACGGGCTGTGCAATTTGTTTTGCTCTCAACCCAGGGCACTTCTTGGCTGAAACTCCTCCTGCCTCAGAATTGAAACTTTTCTCAAATGCTGAAAATAAACTATCTGGCTTCCTCTAGCTAGAGACATCTGGGAAGTGATGCTTCTGAAACTATTTTTGGCATGAAAATGTCACCCCAAGCTGCTGGAAGTGATTTGGAAGTTTTGAGGTATTGAAAGCATCTGATGAGAAGTGGCGGAGGCCAAGTGGGTAGAGGTTAATTATTACACAGGCCAGGCGTTTCCCATCGGGGTTCTTATTCCTCATGCTCTTCCTGTTTACGGCTCTCAATTCTTTAGGCCAAGGATGGCACTGGGGTTGGTATGTGAAAGGTGGTAGAACAGGTGTGGAGAGGGGCGGCAGGTATGATAAAGGGGGAACACACTGGCTGGCTGGCCTTCCTTCAGCCTGCACGCCCTGCCTGGCTCCCTGGAAGTCCAGCGTGCCAGGAGATCCACGGAGGGTTCCTGGAGAATGCCAGGACCATGTGTTCGCTGATGGGTTTCACGAGATAAGAGACAAAGTTTCTGACTTTCTGAGTCCCATGCAGGGTACCAGGGATCAGGCTGGACCAGCTGAGATGCTTCCCAGGATGAGCCAGTAAAGAATAACACAAGGAGCAAGTGGGAATTGTAAATATGGAAGAATCAGAGGGGTCCAGAAATGGGGATGCTGGAAGTGGCCCAGGCCAGGGGCAGGAGTGGAGGCCACTGGGAACAGGCTAAGGAGAGGAGAATAAAGTCAAGGCCAGTGAAAGATGTGAAGATGTGGAGTCTGGCTTTGTTGGATGATGGTGTGCCCCCGCTACCTACCCTGGGCTCAGGAAATATAGAATAGATGAAGATGGGAAAGACCCCTGGGGAGGTGGTTGATTCATAACTCTAGCTGGTTTGGCTCACAACACTTCGGACACCAAATGCGTGGGTAATTTTAACACCAACAACCAGTTCTCCAAATATCCAGATACCAACTGGGTGTCCTACAATTCAATTCAATTTTTTTTTTTTTTTTCTTTTGCAGTACGCGGGCCTCTCACTGCTGTGGCCTCTCCCGTTGCGGAGCACAGGCTCCGGACGCGCAGTCTTGGCGGCCATGGCTCACGGGCCCAGCCGCTCCGCGGCATGTGGGACCTTCCCGGACCGGGGCACGAACCCGTGTCCCCTGCATCGGCAGGCGGACTCTCAACCACTGCGCCACCAGGGAAGCCCTTCAATTCAATTTTGACACTAACCACCCACAGGTAGAGTCAGGCTCCACAAGGCTGTCACCTGTACTTCTGACCAACCGGCAATAAGTCGAGGGTTCCCATGACTCCCTCCTCAGTCGATAATTTGCTGGAATGGCTCACAAAACTCAGGGAAACATTTTACTTACAGTTTCTGGTTTATTATGAAGGGTACAAATGGACAGTCAGATGAATAGGTCCACAGGGCAAGGAGTCGGGGAGTGTGGAGGGAGATCCTCTCTAAGCGCTCCACGCTCCCAGCACCTTGATGTGTCCACAAACCCAGAAGCCCTGGGAATCCTGTTGCTTAGCAGTTTTTAATGGAGCCTTCAGTACTTAGGCATGATTCTTTAAATCATTGGCCATTGGTGATTAACTCAACCTCTAGTCTCTCTCCCCTCTCCAGAGGGAAGTGGAGGTGGCTGGGGGCAAAAAGTTCCAACCCTCTAGTCCTGCCTTGGCCTTTCTGGTGACCAGCTCCCATCCTGAAGCTATCTAAGGGCCCCTAGTCACGCCATCTTATTAGTATACAAAAGACGCTCTTTTCACCCTGGAGATCCGAAGGGTTTTAGGAGCTGTGTGTCCCAGACCAAGAGCAAAGACCAGATATAAAATTTTTTCATTTTATCACAATGTCCTTTAGCAAGGTCCTTCCTTCCACCTGAGTGGCACTTGGGGTTTACTTGGGATTAAATGGGAGGAGCTAAGACAGAGAACAGCGGACCTCCATCCCCACTGCCCCACCCTGGACCTGCCCTGTCCACAGTCTTCCTAGGTAGGAGGTAGTGTCAGCTGAAAGGACCCTCAAAAATGACCTTTTAGACTTCTTGCTTTATAGATGGGAAATTGAGGCCCAGACAAAGAAAAAAAAAAAATGCCCAAGATCACACAGTGAGTGCTTGGCTTCAAGCCTGGGTGTGTTTGCCTCCAAGACCTGCAAAATCCTCCATACTCCTTCCCAGCCAGGGCGCGGCAGGACACCTGGCCCCCTCGCCCCCCTCACTGAACACCTGGCCTGACTGCACCTGTAGCTGCTGGGGGTATAAGTTACCCATCATGCCTTGATGCGCGTGTAGGTGGTAAATGTAGGAGTGATTCATTCTACCTTTAAACTCAGAAATCATTTCAGAAATCAGAGGTGGGTGTTATGTTTTGATGTTGGGAGTACAGATGAGTTTTATTTTCTCCTTCAACATGTTTAAGGTTTTCCAAAATTTCACAACAAACATCTCTAACCTTATAAACCCCACCCCTCCCAATCTGATTTTAAAAAAGAAGGAAACTGGAGGGTGGTGAAATGCCCAGCTCCGTACAGAGGTCCAGTAAGCAAGGCCAACCAGTATCTGTCCCGCCAGGCAGAGGCCCTGAGCTGGAAGTACTGAAGGTCATCCAACTCTCTAGCCTGGCATCCAAGGCCACCCAGGCAGCATCACCCCTACGCCTCACCTTGGCTCTCACCATCCCCTGCTCCTGAAATCTCTTCCCATGACCATCACCAAATCCAATTTATTTTTTCAGGGCCCAACAACCAATTCTGCTAGTTCCATGAAGGTGTTTTAAAGCTCACCTTCCCTAGTTGGGATGAACACCTCTCTCCCTCCTCTGACCACCCGTGGAACTTTACGTGGACCTGTTTTATAATCCTGATCATCTGACTTGTCCTGGAGTCACTTGCACCCAGGTCTGACTCTCCTGGGCTGAGGTGTCCTTGGGGGCGGGGCCTGCATATCATGTATCTCGGTGCTCCCAATGCCATCCGCAGCCTGGCACAGGCTAGACTTCAAATGAATGTTCGTTGAACTTAAGTGAATTGAAAATACAGTATCCAAAAGGGGGTATTGTGATAAATCCGTTTATGGGGGTACATCGACCTCGGCACTACTGTCATTTAGGGTTGAATTCTATGCGGTGAGGAGCTGTTGTGTTTAGCGGCATCCCTGGCTGCTACCTACTAGACGCCAGTTGTGACAACCCAGAATTTGGACACCGCCAAATGTGCCCTGGGGGACGCAACTGCCTCCTGTTGAGTATCACCGGTGTACGGTTTCAAGGGTTTTCATAAACAATCCCTAGGAGTAGGAATCCCCATTTGATAGATGAGAAAGGCAAGGCTCATGGAGAGTTTAGAGTTGAAATAGTTTTGCACGTAGGTCTCCCATTCCAAGTCCAGTGCTGAGGCCTGGAGGCCTCCCAGAACCCCAGCAAGGTCTATGCTTCTCCACTTTGGTGTAGCTACTCCCCTCCCATGTCCCGGGTCCCACAATGTCCAATCCCCCCGCCCCGCCTCCGTGGCTTGTGCCAGGCTGTGAGCCACTGGTTGACCCTTGTAGTCCATGCAGACCAGACCTCAGGCTGTGCCTGAATCCGACCGTCACATCTTCAGCACCTTGTCCTCCTCCCCGTGCTTGAACACGCTGATGGTGACCTGGCCCTTCTCGGAGCCATATTTGTTCTTGACGAAGACACCGTAGCGCCCACTGTCCTCACTGTTGACCCTCTCGATGGTGATGGTGACCTCCGACCCCTTCACCTCCATGTGGTAGCGGTCAAGGAAGGTGACAGGCTGGTCATTCTTCAGCCAAGAGACTTCAGGGATAGGATCTCCTGAGATGACGCAGGTCAGGCACAGGGTCTGTTTGAAAGGACAGGAAGGGAACGCTCAGTCCACATGCTTGGAATAACCCTTGGTGAAGTGTGAAGGTTATAAACCTTCACACTCCCAGGGAGCTCCCAGTATAAGCTGCTCCTTGTGGTAAGTTCATTATGTGTGTTTTATTGTGACCCATAAAGTAATAACAGTAAAGGGAGATGTTTTACTCTAACCCCACATCCTCCATTCTCAACATTTCTACGGGAACACTTAACTATTTAGACTGTTGGGCCATTATTACTTTAGCAATTACCTGCCCCAGAATGGCCTGGACTTTGCTTTAATGCTTTTATTGTATATTTCATTATGATTTTACCATGCAAATAAGGCTAGATTGCTTTTTTTTTGCGATACGCGGGCCTCTCACTGTTGTGGCCTCTCCCGTTGTGGAGCACAGGCTCCGGACGCACAGGCTCAGCGGCCATGGCTCACGGGCCCAGCCGCTCCGCGGCATGTGGGATCTTCGTGGACCGGGGCACAAACCCGTGTCCCCTGCATCGGCAGGTGGACTCTCAACCACTGCGCCTCCAGGGAAGCCCGGCTAGACTGCTTTAACATAAAGATTTAAGAATTGAGTTTGAAAATTCTCAACAGAGCAATTCTCACTGCAGAGGCACTCTAGTGTAATGGCCGTCTGGAGCTGGGCTGCCAGGCTGTGAATCTCAGCTCGGCTCCTTTAAGCTGTATGACCTTAGGTAAGTCTCTTAACCTTTCTGGGCCTCAGTTTCCTCAGCTATAAAGTATGACTAGTAATAACACACTATTTCATGGGGTTGCCTTGTTGGTTAAATAATGGAATAGTGCCTGGCACAAAGTAAGCAACATGAAAACGTTAGCCATCATTTTCTAGAACATTAGACTTGAAAAACTTCAGTCCTCAAAGGGCTTTTTAGGTATCATCTAGTCAAACTCCTGTGGAAACTGAAGTTCACACAGAGAAGTCCGTGACACCCAGGGCCACCTGGAGAGATGGGGTAGAACTGGGGTGAGCACAGGCCTGTCACCGCCCCCCGCCCCCCCCCGCCATGGGCCTGACACCAGGCTCAGTGTCTTTCCTTTATACTACATGTGACCAATGAGGTGTGGTCACTCGGCCAGACTCTGGTGCATCCAGCCCCTTCGGCTCTGGAATCCACGGTGCTGCGTTGCTTCGTGCTCTTTGATGGATACAGGAGGGAACCCAGGGTGGGACTGCCGGCTGTGGGCTGGGGAACAGTCAGTACCTTATCTTCCATGATCGTGGCCACGTCCGGCAGGCCCCTCACCACTTTGGCACGATCTGGAAGGGAAAAACGAGACCCCCAGTGATGAATGTTTTCCTGCCAGCTGCTTCCCAGCAGCAGGTTCCATGAAGTTGAGGTTTATTTTGAAGCAATGCTTCTTTTTCTTTTTGCATCATTTTGGGTGGACATCCTTAAACTTGTGTTACGTTACTTCCTTGCCTTTATAAACACAAGATAGGGACGTAATGTGTTTCTGTCGTTGACCTGAGGTTATTATTATGGCTGGTAGTACCTGGAGGTGACAGTGAGGTGCCCCTCCCCTGAGGACTGGGAGAGAAGGTGATAAGGTTGCTCTGAGCCTTAAACTGGCAAAATGCACACAACAGGTGTGACGAACCAGCTCAGGGAGTGAATAGGAAGGGAGCTTCCGGGACACTGACTCTGGTCAAGGGAGGGGACCTGGTGGCCATGGCGGCTGGGCAGGAAGAGACTGTGGTTGTAAATCACTGAGCAGAAAGCCAGCATGTTGCAGTCGAGGCTGTGGGAACGGACCCTAGACCACGATCAGGGATGTGCCAAGAGCCTGAAGTGGCTGGTGTCTGTGCAACAGAGGTAGGGGAGGAGGAGCCTGAATCAGGGTTGAAGGGGGAGGGGAAGGACGGCCCCAGAGATGGACACTGTTGTGGGAGGAACGTTCACCAGGCCCATCGTGGCGGGCGAAACAATCCACTTCCCCTGACTCTCAACTCGGCCAGCCCTAGCAAGCACAGGTGGTGAGCTTAGGCCCCTGTGTTAGGGTCCTGGAGGGGTGTCCTGTGCAGAGACTCGGCATTCCAGGATGGGGGGGGCAGGTGATTAGGAGGTGTGACGGGCTGAGTTGGGTCTGCAGGCTGCGCTCCGCCCACTGAGGTGGCCGCCCGCTGCGAGGGCTCCTCACTGCTCTTGGACCCCAGATGGCCCCCTCCCAGATAGCAGTTATGAACGGCCTGCACTTCCCGCCAAGTGCGGACACTCAGGGACAAGACGCCACTTAGGGCTCATGCCCCCTCCTACCAATGGCCCCAAACGGGCAGTTTCCCTCCTCACTGTCAGGTCGAACGGGGCTGCTCTGCTCTGCTGCCAGGAGGCTTCCCCTCATGGAAGGTCCTACACTGACCGGCTGGCTCACTGAGACCAGAAAGCCAGCCTCCTGAACTGGGTGCTTTAGAACTGGTTGCGGGGACTCGGAGAAGCTCCAGTGCGTGGACCTGGTGGTCCCCCTGGGCAACTCAGAGGCTGTGTCCTGATTAGATGAGGCCCTAGGGCCCCACAGCCAGAACCAGCTTTAGCTTTGCAGTCGTCCCCTCCCGGGCCTCGCTTGGAAGACAGGGCCTCGGTCCTGTCTGCCCCGGCCTTTGGAGTCCCACCGACATCGGCCGTGTGCCTACTCGCCACCAGGCCCGCACCAGGCACGTCCACATCCACGGTCTCAGGTATCCTCGGACTCCTCATCCACCTGTCTTCACGCTGCCACCATCCGGGTCTCCCGGCAGCTCTGTGACGGCCCAGAGCCACACAGACCCCATGGGAAACTGGGACTCCAGCTACCTGCCAGGACGCGTGAGCAGCTGGGAAGCCGCCCCAAACTCAGAAGTGGAAACAACAGAAATATGGCTGGACTTACTCTTCTCGATGATGGCCAAGGCTCTGAAAAACGGAAATGGGAAAAAGCCTTGGTGTTTCATTTGTTAAAGGACAGTCCTGCCCGGGTAGGGGGGAGGGGGTGACGGGGGAAAGGTGGAGCTGTCCCGCCTCCCAGGAAGGGTCCTGTGCTCGTGCACCCCAGGGCCCTTGATCACACTGAGAAACGTCGAGGACACTTACTTCAGTCTCTGGTGCTCAGCCAGGGCGTCCTCAAAAGCTACAAGAAGGAAAAGGGGAAAAGGTGCGTCAGGGCATCTACCCCCAATCTCCCCCCTTCCTGCAACCCACAGGTATAGAGCTCAGCACTGACTGTTCCTTCACTCTGTTCCAGCATTCTCTTGGGGGCAGTGCTAGGATTGGGTGGGGAGATGGGAGCCCCCCCAAAAGACCATGGGGTTTTCTAAACAGGTTTCACTGAGGACAGACAGGCGGAGCGCTCACCTTGCCCCGAGAGATCAGCTGAGAGCTGCCGGACTTCCTTCCCGGCCGCTATCTCTAGGGTGTATTTGCCCTTGTCTGAGTCTTTGGGGTCCAGGATGTGGAGCCAGATGTCATCCAGGGTGGTACCAGCCCTCACCCGATCACCACTCTCCAGGCGCTTCTCTCTGAACGTGAGGGTGAAGAAATGGTTAACACAGCTCAGTCCGGGACGGGCTGTCCGCCCGCCCATCTACAGGAACCCCTGCCCCAAACTCCTCTCCCGGGGTTTTGTTCCCAGATGTGTGAGCTGAAAGTGGTGACCATGCATGAGATATTTGATATATATCTATCCACTCATCCCCTCATCATTCATTCATTCATCAAACCTTGTGGCCGCGCTGAGTCTATATTTGTGACATGTCCTGCAGGCTGGGACTTTGAGGAAATGGTGCTCCAGGGTCAGTGACCACCTCCCCACACCCCACCAGTGGGAGCCGCTTCCTCACTTCATCCTTTTCCTCATCGTAAAACCTCCGAGCATTTCTTCCCACAATCACTCTTACGTAATTCTTATAAACTATATAAACTCCTTTCCTTTACTTAAATTTCATTCCTAAAGACACCTGGCCCATGTCAGTGTTTTGTCACAGAAGTGACACCTCTGGGCTTCGTCATGGGGCTCAGAAACTCTAGAGAAGGAGCTTCACTGTTCTGAAATTCAGCCTGGCCTTGGTCTCACTCACGTGACCAATTTGACTAAGTCCGTCTAGCCTTCTCCATAGAATGGGTGCAGTAATGTCTGCTCCACAAGGCTGAGGTTTGCAAGTAAGAAGCACTGGGAAAATTCTGCTCCCAAACTCTCTGGGGTCACTTAGCTCCTGGCGGAGTCTCTGATACCTGATCCTGCCTTCAGGGCCTGGCCCTCAGTTAGTCGTCAGCCCCCCAGGTCCCTCTGCCTGCACCTCTCCCCTCAGCCTGGCTGCCTGAGTTTGCTAAGGCTGCAGAGACCCACAAGGGCACTTGATCATCTGGTTCCCCATCGTTCCTGCATCCTTCTCTCCCCCAGCTCCCAGATGGTGCTCTAAGACAATGGTCCTTCTCTGCCATGGATATTCTGGGAAAGTGATCTTAGCGCCAGGGTTCCCACCTTTCCTGGGGAGCCTCCCTTCTGTGCCTCTAACAGCTGTTCCCTGTCCCAGACTCCCTCTGTGGACAGCAGGACCGGTGAGAGACCCTGTCTCTGCCAAGCCCTTGGGACTGGGCTCTGAGGCGGGTGCTGGGCCCCCTCCAGCCTGGCTAGGGCTCCAGGGTAAGGCCAACCTACTTGTGGAACCAGGTGGTTTTCATGTAGCTCGCGTTGTAGTACTTGACTCTGCTGAAGAGCCGGATCCCCTCCTCGGTCCCCTGGATTTTCAGTGGGGTCGCAGAGAGGGCTGGGGAGGCATGGGAGCAGGGTGAGTCTTCCCCAAGGCCCTTTGGGCAGCACATCTGGGGGGCAGCCAGCTCGCCCCTGCTTTGGGGCATGGTGGGGGGAACACAGTGTGGTGAAGAGGCAGGAGCATCTCCCCCCAGTCTTTGAGGCTGGAAACTAACCCCACCCCCAGCAGCCAAGGATGGCTAGAGGTCCCCCGGAGGCTCTGTGGCATCACGGCAGCGCTGAGCAAGGAGGGGGCTTGCTTACCACCAATCCTGCCCAGCTCAGTGAAGATGGCATCCAGGGCTGGAGGGAGACAGAGGGAATGGTCAGCTGATGCACCAGGTGGGGCCGTCCTTGGAAAAGGCTGGTGGACCTTATGAGCAGCTCTCAGAACACAGGCTTAGGGGTGGGGAGGGGATCTGGGGCACTGCGTGACTGATGGGGCAGGGGGGCAACACAGATGGAGGACGAATGGGCCGACACGACAGTCTTCCTGCAGGCTGAGACGACCAGCCTGGTGAGGAGCCTGGGGCCCGCTGGGGGTGGGGGCGGGGGGCAGAGCAGAGAACTCAGGCTCCGGGTCTGGAAGCCTGGGCTCGCTGTGGGATAGTGCAGTGAACATGGGCACCAGCGTCACACAGACCAGGCCCTGCCACTGACCAGCTGTGCAGCCATGGGCAGGTCACTTAACTCCCCTGGGCCTCAGTTGTCCCTAGTGAGGATCCCAGACAGTTTCCCCACAGGTCACACTGCATCTCTTGGTTCAGTGTGAGGCCCTCCTGGCCCGTCTCTGATGTCGCCGGCTCCTACCTTCACCCGTGAGGTCCAGGATGGTGTCGTCCTCCCCTCGCTCATCGGAAACCTCTGCTCTGTAAATGCCCTTGTCCTCTTTGGAAAGCTGGAAAGAAGGATGTGAGAAGGCGGTGTCAGCATGAGTTCCAGAAGGAGCGATGGACAGCAAGTCAGGAGGCCTGGGCTCTAGGCCTGCCCCTAACTCTCCTCCCTGGGCCTCAGTTTACCCCCCTGCAATGGGTGATCTCTGAGGCTCCTTCCAGCTCCAGAGCCCTTTGATCCCAAGCCCAGGGCTTGTCTGGGCCTGGAGGTGGGGCAAGAGGGGGAACTGAGGGCAGAAACAGACGCCCCGCATGTGATTCTCAGGCAGCTGCTCTGAGCAGAGCAAAGCGAGCCCTCCTAGCAGAGCTGGGCCGAGCAGGGCGCACCCTCCACCAGCGCTGCCCTGCTTCCCAGGGGCCCTGGATAGAGGGACCTCTCTGCATCTCTCAGAAGGAAGTGTGCTTTCTTTTGCTCAGGACGAGGGGGTCCTTACTGGCACATGCTTGTCAACCCCAAGTGAAGCCCGGGTCAACACTCAGCAAAGCAAGAACTTGGGTCATGCTTTGAAAGCAAGGTCAGAAGTCCGCTGTGCCCTCTCATTACACAGCGTCTCCTCCAGGGGCTGCGGGGGTGGGAGCGTGATATCTGCCTCCCTGTCCCCTCAAAGGGCCCCTCTCACCCCAACCATCTCTACATAGTGTGCTTTGAGGCAGGATTCAAGGCAGAAGCATCTCTTAACTGGGGTATCAAAGGGCTGAAAACCCCAACAGTCTTCTCCCATGTCCCCTGCCCCCTCCCTCAGTGAAGGCTCCGAAGTCCCAGCCAAATTCCAGTGACAGTGATTGGAGAAACTTCCGGCCCCGCTCTCAAGCTTTGTATCTTGGTATTTAAACCCTCTGAGCCTCAGTTTACTCATCTGTAAAATGGTGGCATAATCCTTGCCCTAGCTACGTACTATAGTTGCTGTGAAGATCAAGGGAGATAACTTCGGAAGCCAGAAAGTTCTGCACCAATAGGCTGGATGATTATGACAAGACTCAGCAGCTATAAAGCACCTACTTGATGCCAAGCCCTGTGTGAAGAGTTTGCACTGTGATGACAAAGGCCAACTTGCCATCGTCTTGGCCGGGATTTGGGAGAGGACCCTGAAATCATTATTTCCTTCCTAGTCTGCAAACCTGCATCTGTCACAGTCCTCCTTGGCACACGGTGGGGCCACAGAAATCAGGGACAAGGCAGAAAAACATTGAATATTTAAGAATAAGTCTTGCATTTCTACCTTAACCAGGTCACACTCCTCCAAGGGCCATGGGGAGGTCGTGGGTGGGAGAAGTGAGCTCCAGGCCCTGTTTTGCTCTGCCCAGACCTGCCTCACACGGAGACCGTCTTCCTGTCCTGAATCTCAGGCTGCGGGGGCAGGAAGGAATCTCTGAGAGAGCATCCCTCTGACCTGCTCGTGTAACAGGTGAAAACGGAGGTCAGAGAGGGACAGTGACTAGCCCAGGGCCATGCAGTCAGCGGCAGGGCCAGGACTGGAATCCAACTAAAAGGAAAAGTCAGTATTACTGAGCCTGTTTTTATTTAAAGTTTTGGTATTGTTTTCCCTCGTGGTCTTTTTTTGGGGGCATGAATTTTGATCCTTAAAAATACTGCGTGAAATACTATTTATCTTGAGTACTGGGCCTTTCAGTGCTTCCTGAGAGTTTGTGCGTGAGGTCAGTGCCTCACTTGCCTCACCCTGGTCCTGACTCCCTGCCCAGTGCTCCTGGCACTGCCTGGAGGCTGTGAGCCCTGGAGTCAGAGCTGCACTTACCTCTTCCATGCAGAGAAGCCCTGCTCCAGTCTGCGGGTCATACTGACCATCTGGGAACTCTTTCTTCTGGAAGAACCACTGGAAGCGGGTTTCTTTCTTGGTGTTGGTCACCTGAGGAAGGTGGGGAGTGAGGAGACTCCTTCAGGCTTTCTCTTTTAAGTGAAGACTCAGATCATCAGAACCTTTTTTTTTTTTTTTACAAACATGACTCCCCCCCCACCCCCAGGCTAAATCTCAGCCAACCCCTTCCTCACACCATATGTCTCCTCTGATGGTTTCTGGACTCAGGACTTGTGCTAATGCTATTCCCTCTGCTTCTTGATCCCTTTCCTACCCTACTTTTTCTTGTAAATGCCTGTGTCACCTCCTCCAGGAAGCCTTCCTTTATGCACCCCAGAGTGTGCCCCATCGTGAGTGATCAATTTCCTGCATGTCTCCATCACAGCAGGAGCTATGCTGTTTTCGCCACGATCTTGCTTTGGACTGTGGGATCTTACAGGCCTAAGGAGACCACTTCTTCACCCTTGTATGCCCAGTGCTTGCAGAGTGTGTTACACAGAGTAGGTACTTAGGTTTGCTGAATGGATAGGCTTCTGGGAGTGCGCCCTCCCCTCCCCTGCCCTCCCCCAGGTATCTAAAAGGCTGCAGGGTGCTGAGAAACAGTCAGGCACATCCGGTTAAAACCTGGGCTCTGGACTCGGCCTGTTACCATGTAGCCTTCAGCTAGTTCCCCACTTGGTTTTTCATCCTACAGTGGGGATTGTAACACCTCTCTCACACATGATTGTGAGGCAGATGAAATAAAATAATGCTCTGAAGTGCTGAGAACAGTGTCTGGCAGGGCTACTGACAGACACAGGGACTACCACTCAACGTATAGAGCCCTCACTTGCTCCCAGACCCGTGACCCCCAGAACCCCTCCCGGAGCAGCTGGGAGATCTAACTCAAGGCTGACTCAGCGCACTAATTCACACTAACTCTGCTCCCTGGGTTTTTGTTTTCCAGTTAAATGCAAAATCCCTGGGGCTACTTCCTCTGCTTGGGATCACACCAGCACAGGGTGTGGAGTTGCAGGGAGTGGGGCAAAAGACAGCCACGGGGCTTGGGGACAACCACAGGTCTTGCCCCACGGGGCCTGGGGGCAGGGCTGGAGGCGGGGGCGGCGCTTTGCCTTGCACATCAGCAGCACTTGGCAGTCCTCGGTGACCTTCCACTGCAAAGGCTCCTCGAAATACGGACCTGAGGGCAAAACAGCACGCCCAGCGGTCAGAGCGCCGGGCTCGGCCCGGGCGCCACCTGGTGGCGAGATAGGGGAAGGCAGCTGGGGAGAGGCACCTAATGACTACTGGCCCCTCGGATTTTGGGATTCCGCCCCCACGAGGGAGGGGACTGGGGTGAGGTATCTGGGAGGCATCTAGGGTGCAAAGTTTAGGGCGCGCGCTCTCGGGGCTGGGCAAGTGCTGTTTCGTTCTGGCACAGGGACAGCACTAGATCAAATGGCAGTGGCCCTCCCTCAGGGGGGTCCAGCAGGGCGGAGGGATCTATTAATCCACTTGCCCAGCGGTTCCCCTGCGCTGTCTGCTGGCCTGCTGGCCGAGGTGTTTGAACTTCGCCCCAGCAGTTCTTACCCTGCTTTCTCTTCCAGTCTCTTCTCTTAGCATCTGCCTCCCTCAGAAGTTTGTCGAACTCTGTGAACACAGAGGGGGGAACGGGTGTGAACCAGAAATAGCGCAGGTCCAGAGGAGGGCGTCAGGATGGATAGAGACGCCCAGGCTGAGAGCTGAGGCCGGGTGCGTGGGGCAGGGCCGGGGTCAGGGCACAGCTGACCGTCATCCACCAGAGCCAGGGTGATCTGGTTCTTGGCTTTTCCGTCTTGGAGCTGAGCAGTATACGACCCTTTGTCGTCCTCAGTCAAGTTTTGGATGATAACTTCCACCAGGCCCTTCTCTCGGTCAAAATTGATTTTGCGGTTCTGGGGAGAACAAAACCCGAAAGTCTTTCTGCCCTTTTCCAATCCCAGGGAATTTGTGCTGTGGGGTGCAAATCGGGGTGTGGTTGGACTTGGGGGTAATAAATGCAGAGTTAGAAGTCTTCAGAGACTGGGGAGGGGGCCCAAGGTACCCCTCTCCTGTGTATAGACTGGGCTTTTCTCACACCCGGCCCCTGAGAACACCCTGGGCCCGGCAGACACTGGAAAGAGTCTTGTGTGCTTGTATCAGTTGCAATTAATAATAATCCCCAACCTCCTACTGTGCCATGTTTTTGGGTTATTTTCTACTTCTTTTGCAATTTAATATAAAAAAAATCCCCCATAAAACTGTAAAGGATAATATAAAAAAGCCTGGGAACCTGCTGCCCAGAATTAGCACTTATTTACATTTTGTCACATTCTAACAGCTTTCAAACGTTTTATTTTCCACATTTAGGGTGTATGTGTGATTTGAGAGAAACGTCTAATTTGATTTCTCTATAGCGGCACCTGCTAGTATCAGCGCTGTGTACCAAGAGTCCAGACTTTGTTACCCTGCCTCTACCATGAGCCAAGGTCATGCTTAATCTCTGTGCAGAACTTTCAGATCTATTTTTTTTCCAATTGCTCCTCCTGATTCTGGGGCAACCAACCCCATTGTACCGATGCAGAAACTGAGGCACAGAGAGGTGAAGAGACCTGCCCAAGGGCACACAACCCACAGGAGATGAATATGAGTCTTCTGACATCTAGCCCTGAGCTCTTCCTCCTCTGTCAGAACCAGCTCCTCTTTATAACACACATTTTTTGATGGTCATTTGGAGATGAAATTCACAAATAAGATCTTCTCATGATTGAATCTCTCATGAGAGGTTTTACTCATGTACATCTTCATGAGTGCAAGAAGAACAGGAAAACGAATGAAAGAGCATAGGTAATGTGGCTAATAGAATAAAAACTCTCTATTCAGTGTATGTTAACACTGCAAAAAAAATTCTTTGTGTCTATATCTCAGAGTTAGGGTCTAGGCTTGGATAATTATAAGCATGAATGTAGGTTTTTCACCTTACAAATGTTTGACAGGACAGTGAACAATTGTGGGAGGCATGGGAAGTTCTTTGTGGGAGTGTTCCTTGCGTTGGCAAGTGTCTAGCATCCCTACCACCCACCCCCCCAGGTACTAAAATCCAGGTGTCCTCACCCCCCACCCTATCACTGTGACAGCCAAAGCTGGTGGCCCTTTCTGAAAAGTCTGCTCGGGGGAGGTGCAGCCAGTGGAGACCACTGCCTGTGAGACCACCTCCTGGGCCAGGAACCTCACTTAGGGATTCTGAGCCCCCAATTACCGGTGAGCTGAAGATTTCCTGCTCGTTGAAGATTAGATGCAGCTCAGCTGCTGGAGACAACTTTTCTACTTCCAGCCAAAGCCGCACCTCTCCTTGCTCGAGGATGTCAACGTTCCAGCCGGAGATCAGCTTGATCACTGGGAGGCAGAGGACAGGAAAGGGTGGGCAGGGAACCCTTCTCCCCTCCCCCCTCCCGACAGCCCCACCTTGAGCACACTGTGGGCATTTAATGTGCAAAATGTTTCAGAGTCTGACGCAGACACGACTGGGGATGAGGGGCTGGGGAGGGTTTCCCACATTCAGTCCCCCTAGATTGAATTCATCTCAGGGAATTCATCCTCTTCCCACAGCTTTGAGGTCATGCTTCTCACCCTGGCTGGACACTGGATCCCCAAGGGCTTTCAAAAACACCAGTGTCTGGCTCCAGACCCAGAGGTTCTGATTTGTTTGGGGTGTGGCCTGGGCATTGGGATTTTGAAAAGCTCCAAGGGTGATTCCAATATGCACCCAAATTTGCGACCCCTGCGCCAGGGCCTGCAAAAGCTACTCCTGGCCAATGGAGGGAAGCAGGGGTTTAGATGACCCACAATCCAAGAAGAAAAAACCAGCCACTCTGCCCTCCCTTGCATCCCATGTGCTCTCTGCTGGCCGCTCTGTTCCCTTCATGGACTGAGGACTCCCTGGGTCTCTGACCTTCCAGCCCCAAGACGTCCCCATCCTTTGCCCCCCCCCCCCCCCCCCCCCTCCCCCGGCTAGTTTCTGGCTCTTGGCTGACTCAGCCCTGCTCAGAACACCCCGGTGGGCCTGGCGGGACTGCCCAAGGCTGCTGGCTTGGACCACTTACCTGGGTTTCTAATCTCATGGCTCAGCTTCTTCAGCCTGTTCAGCTCTGGGACAGGGAGGAGCAAGGAAGAAACCAAAGAGAATGACATACCCGGGCCAGTGGGGCCCATGGAAGCCGTCCTAGCGTCCACACTGGGTGAAAGTCCCGAGAGACTCGGCTTGGGGTCATTTGGCTACTGAGGGGTTGATGATGACCACCGTGGGCCTTGGCTCTGGGGCACTGAGGGGGCTGCGGGGACTGCCGCAGGCCACCCTGAGGTTGCTTATTCTCCTGTCCTTCAAGACCTGATCAAGTGCCACCTCCCCAGAGAAGCGCCTACTGTGTGCCAGGCTCTGCGTGATCTCAGCCGTCCTCACACCATGCTGTGGGGTGAGCATTACTGTCTGTCTCCTGAGGCCCCTTGTTAACCCACTGAGCCATACTGTCCCAGCATCTGAGGGTCTGTTCTCCCCCACTGAGCCATACTGTCCTAGTATCTGAGGGTCTGCTCTCCCCACTGAGCATTTCAGTCTGCATGTGTCTAGGGCAGGTCAGCAGAGTGCTGTCTCACTGCTAACTGCTTCTTTGTGTTAGGTTTGTCTCTTCTGCTAAGCTGAGCTCTGGACCTGCATGGTATCTGGCACACAGTATGTGCTCAATAAATACGTGCTGCATGAATGAATTGGCAGGGGCAGGGCTCATATCTCATTTCCTCTTATAAGCTCCAGAGTCCTTAGCATGATGAGTCTGGACACATGGCAAGCATCCAGTCCAAAAAAAAAAGCAAACCCCATTACTTTTGTGGATGGCTTTAGTTTGCATGGAATCATCTAAGTATATCTGCATAACAACATTGTTTCACTTAGGACAGCAGGGATTATAATCCCCCTTTACAGATGAGGAAACTGAGGCCCAGAGAGGTGTCATGACTTATCCAAGGTCAAGCAGCTAGGAAATCGTGGAACTGGAATTTCACTCTGGACCTGCCTGGCTTCTGCCTCTTAACAAAATCAAATGGCCTCCAGTGCAATCATCAGGGAGGACAATGGGCTGTCCCAGTTGCTATGGAGACAGCAGAGGGTGAGTCTCACAGATGACCGCTGAGGCCCGGCATCCCCTCTCTGGTTTACCACAGTCCCCACTGCTCCCTTTTGCCATCCTCATTCCTCAGACTGACTGCCATTTGCAGTTTATCATTCTGCTTATGCTGTCGTTTTTCTTAGGCTACGGAAGGAAGTGAAATAATTCACTGGTACCTTTGCTTTTTATCAAAAGTAGATAAAGTAAAGAGAGAGACAAGAAGAGCGTGAACTCCATCAGGCAGGGATTTCTGCCTGTTGAGTTCACTGATGTAATTCAGTGCCTAGGACAGTCTCTGGCATATGGTCGGTGCTCAGCAGATACTTATTCACTGGCTGACTGACTGAATGGGTGGGTGAGGGCCTACTTCCCTGGAAATCTCTGCTTTACTCATTTTTATTGCTTCTTGCTGGCCTCTGGGGTATCTGTGCTTGGGACCCCGTGTCTGGGTCGTCTCTCTGGGGAGGTGGCTGTGGAACAGGGGCATCACCTTCCTCCGTCAGCGTGTGGCTTGCTGAGATATCTTCGTCAGCATCGGTGACCACCACCGAGTAGGTGCCCAAATCCTCGAGGCCAGGTTCTTTCAGGATGATCTTGGACCTGCAGAGACAGGAGGGCAGAGGCTCTGAGAGGGGCCGTGTGCCCTGGAGGCCTGGGAGCTGGGGAGTCTCGGTCGGCTTTGCAAGCCCTGTACCCCAGCCCAGACCCCGGCCAAGCCAGTAAGCAGGGGTGGCAGCCTCCTTACACCTCTTTGGGGTCCCCCGCCCAGGGCACGTCTGGCCTGCCACCTTCAGTGGTCCTCACTAGCCAGGCTCTCTGGAACGGTCTTCGTGCTGGCCACATCCCCCAGGCCTGCCTCTCTCCACAGGTCTCAAGCCATCAGCTTTGTCTCCTGCTGGACAGGGCCAAGGCCAGAGCTGCTGGGGGTGGAGGAGGGAGACCTGGGGGCCCTTGACATCCTAACCCCTCTTTTACTGATGAGGAAGCTGAACCCAGAGAACTTGCAAGAGCGAGTCGCTGGCACTCAGGCTAGAAACCCAGTCCTGAGCGTCTCCTCGGAGGCACACACATTCCTTACAGAAAAGGGTCTGCAAATGAACGGCACCGTTTCAGCCTCTCCAAGGCACTCTCCCTCACTTCTCCCCGGGTGGCAGTCAGCATCCCTCAGGAGAGACCAAGCAGTCCTCTCAAGCTCGTTATCTGGGGGTCCTGCCGGATGGTCTCACCCACGAGCTTCTGCCCGACTCACCCGACAACGTCTGGGACCTGTGGACGAGTCGTGCTGCCCCTCCCTTCACTTACTTGTTAACTTCCTCCTCGACCTTGACCCTCTGTGGGTCCGGCGGGCCCTTGTAGTCCTTGGACCACTGAAACTCCGAGGAGTCGGGGGCCTCGGGGGCTTCGAAAGCCATGTAGATAAAGCCCTCATCATCCACACCAACCTCGATCTCCCGAGCATCTGAGGGCGGGATCCAGTGGAGGGCAACAGGCATTGAGAAACAATAAACCGGGTCAGCGCCCTCCCCTGCTTAACCCCTCCAGTGGCTGCCCATTGCTCTTGAATAAAATAAGAAACCCCAGACTCCTTGCTGTGGCCTCCAAGGCCTCGTATAATCAGGCTCCTTCTCAGCTCAAACGTCACCTCCTCAGACCACTGAGGCTAGCGTAAAGCCCACCCCGCCCTATCACCCTGTTGCCCTTCCTTTATAGCACTTATCACTGGCTTTTTCATCATTTACTTGTTTACTGTCCATTCGTCCTGCCCCTCCCCCCACCAGCACAGGGACCTTGCTTTCTCATCACTGCCACGTCCCCAGTGCAGTGTGGGTGTCACCAAATACTTGCTGAATGAATGAATAATTAAAAGAATGGAAAAGAACACACTTTATAGTGAGGAGAGCTGAGTGATTCCATCGGATACTAGCTGCGTGACCTGGTCATTTAACTTCTCTGAGCTGCAATGAAATCAGTTCTAAAGTGGGGACAGTGACGGCTCCCTCAGGGGCTTATTGGGAGAGCCAGACAGTGTAAGGACCCAGCGCAGCATCTGGTGTATGTGGTAGGAGCGGACCTCGGGAGCCGTGACTGCAAGGCAGGCAAAGCCACACGGCATATCTGAAATAAAGTTGGCTGTTCTTTTAGATATCCACGGAGAGTTGTATGAGTTTAAGAATGTGGCACGTAAAGGATGGAAGACCCATCACATGGAAGGAAACCATATGTTCAAATCTTGGGATCCCACAGAAATAAACGAGAGTGTGGACGGGAGAGAAACAGGCAGGAAGGAATGAGGGGCAGGAAGGTGTGGCGGGGTGAGGGCCCAGCAGGTTCTGTCCTCCTGCTGCAGACAAGCGTCCTCCCCCTGCCCCTACCTGGCTTGTCCTCCAGGAGTATGGGGTCGGTGGGCATGGACGGCTGCCCTGGGCCCGCTGAATTCACAGCCTGTACATGGAACACGTAGGTCTTCCCTGGCTGTAAGTCAGAAACCTGGGGGAAGGGAGGGGGCAAGAGTGAGCACCGAGGATGGCAAAGACCCACCCTTCCTGTAGCCCTGGCCACGGGCTGCAGGGGACCCCCAGGAGGGCCAGGCTGCCCTGGGGGTGGGGGGCAGGCTAGGGGCACATTGCTGTCCTGAGTTCCAGCTTCAGGTGAGCCTCTCCCCTGAGATTACCTCCCACGCTTGTGATGCCTGGAACTCCACCTGCTCGGAACTTAACGCATCATCAGCCTCTCAACAAGAAAACCCTTTCTCTTCCTGCGGCCCCTGCCTCTCCTCCATCTGTCTCCCTAGAAAGGAGCTTGGTGATCATCGTCTTTGACATCTTTTTCTTGAGCCCCACACATCTAATCACCGAAGTTCCCATTTTATTTCCCTAACGTTTCTTGAACGTGGCCTGTCTGTGTCCCAGCCACGCCTTTGACTGCAGCTTTATTTCTTCTCTCCTGGATTAGTCCAACAGTTTCCTAAATGGCGCCTCTGCCTCTAGACCCTTCTTCCCGGTTTATCTTTCCCTCTGCCAATGTTTCCAAGATGGCAGTCTGAGTACACTTAGCTCTTTCAGTGGCCTTCAGGGTAAAGTTCAGATTTCGAGGCTTGGTACCTAAAGCCTTCCTCATCCGTCCATCCTCAGCCTTCTGTCCTCTTCTCCGCGCCCCCTTCACTCCCTGACTCCTCAGGGTCCCCCACGCATCACGTCGCCTCACGCCTCCCTGCCTTTGCCCTTGCTGAGCCCTCTGCCTGGAACGCCCTCCCCTTCTCTTGGTCTAGCAACAACAGCTCACCCTTGGCCACTCAGCTTGGCCAGATGGGATGAGGCCAGGAGGGGCCTCTTACCTTCCTCCTTGGAGCTCCCAGAATCCCTCGGACCCTCCTTGATAGTACGGCACACAGTATTGTAACTGCCTGTTCCCTAAGGACTGTGACTGTAGCTTTTTACATCTACAATCTAGTTCCAGATCTGGCACTAAGTAGGTGTCCAGAAGTGTTGAGTGAATGACTGAGTGAGTGAATGCTGGCCAACCACCCACATGCAGAAACGGTGCCAAGTCACCGAGGCTCCCCAGCCCTGGGCCAGCCTGCCTGGGGAGCAGAGGGACCATCCATCTTGCGTGGCTCTCTCAGGCCAGCTGTCCAGCACTGGCCGACTCTACTGTAGGGAGCCGAGCCCTGTGGTGGTGGAAACTGCACATCTCAGAGCATTCCATGGGCTGAAGCTTGCCCTTCTTCATTTGGTCTTTTTTAAAATTTATTTATTTATTTTTGCTGTGTTGGGTCTTCGTTTCTGTGCGAGGGCTTTCTCTAGTTGCAGCGAGCAGGGGCCACTCTTCATCGCAGTGCACGGGCCTCTCACTGTCGTGGCCTCTCTTGTTGCGGAGCACAGGCTCCAGACGCGCAGGCTCAGTAGTTGTGGCTCACAGGCCTAGTTGCTCTGCGGCATGTGGGATCTTCCCGGACCAGGGCTCGAGCCCGTGTCCCCTGCATTGCCAGGCGGACTCTCAACCACTGCGCCACCAGGAAAGCCCTTCTTCATTTGGTCTTAGATAGCCTTAATGTTATTGTTTCAAAAGGAAATACTTTTATTTTTTTCTGATTATGAAAGAAATTCATGTTTGTTGGAGGAAATATTAAAGCAACAGAAAAGAATATAAAATGAAGGGGTAAGGCTCTCCTGGCAGCCCCATTCCCAGAGATGACCAGAATTGACAATTTTGTAAAAATCCATTTAGACTTGCAAATGCACGTAAACCATGCAGAAACGTGACATGTGCCGTATTCTGCTTGTTAGTATCTTCTTTCCATGTTGTTTTGGGCCTCTCAAGCCTGCTTTCTTTCCTCTTGGTGCTAACAGAGTGCTAACGTGTGGTCTTGAAACCCACACACCCTCCTGCCTGCTGGTGAAAGATGCCTCAGGAAAATGAGGTGGAGAAAATACTCCCTCTCTCCCTAGAGCTGCAGAAGATAAAACCTAATACACATCACAGAACTTTCCTTACAAACTTTCCTTAAACAAAGAAGGCCTGTGAGACATGCTGGCTTCAGAGATGGATGCTGTGAAGTCTGTGGTCCTGATGGATTGTCTGTTAGTAATTTGCGTCTGCTAAGAATGCTTCAATGGACACCTTTGTTTTCTGACACAACAAATATGTGTGAGTTGCCTTTGTTATGCCAGGAGAGCACTGTTTGCGCTTTCCCTTCTACACGAGTGCAAGTGAAAACAACCACCACAGGTGAATAAAACTGATGATTCTGCTAGATTTCTTATTTATCCAAAGAGTTTAGAGTTTCCTTCTCATTTAAATGAAGAAACGCATATATGCCTCTATGTTCATTAATATACAGCATGATATACATGTTCTAAATGTTATCTAACATATAAATATCCTGCTCTGTATTGTGCTTTTTTTTTCTTAGCCACATATGGTGGATATGTTTTCATGTCACAACATACACGTAGCTCTACCTCATTCTTTTCTTTTTAATTTTTAAATTTATAATTTTTTTAGCTCTACCTCATTCTTTATATTATTGCCACTCCTTCAGCTACTGTAGCCTTTACACTCACTGACACTGAGTCCACATTAAGGATACACTGTGATTTATTTAAGCAAACCCCCTACTGATGGACATTTAAGTTGTTTCCAAATTTTGCCTTTATAAACAACGCTACAACAAGCATCACTGTCCTTAGGTCTTTGCACACTTGACTAATTATTTCTCTACAGTTCAATCCTAGAAGCAGAATTCCTAGCTCAAGGGATGTGCATATCCAAATGCTAATATACCTTGCTGATTATAAGTGAGGTTTTAGGGAGGAGTCTGCACAGCATGGAGCAGGTTAAGACCAACCACCGGCCAGACCTACTACCAACTCGCTGTGTGACCCTGGCTAAGCCACTCGCCCTCTCTGGTCCTCTGCTGCCATTAAGTGAGGGCAGTGATCTCTGAGGGTCGTTCCAGCTTTGGTGTTCTGTAGTCCTGCCATATCCTGTGGCAGGGAAGGCTTAGGGCGGGCCCATCCTTCATCAGAGGAGGAAGGGGCAGGGACTCACCCTCAGGTGGGTGCCAGAGATGGGGTCTGGAGTGACTGGCTTCCATTGCTCAGAGCCTTCCTCCTGGACGCTCAAGCAGTAGCCTGTGACTGGTCCGGCCCCTTGGTACAGTGGGGGCTCCCACGTCAGCATCAGGGAGGTGGCCCGCACTTCAAACGCCCGCACGTCATGCGGGGGTCCTGTGGGAAGACAGGGTAGAGAAGGAGATGGATATCCAAGTGGCCGGCCAGCCAGTCGGGCAGTGGGCGGGTGGCGAGTCAGCAAGCTTGTCAATCTTTCAGTCCCAGCCAGGCCTGGAAGTGCCTGCTCTGGACATGGTGGGGACCTGGCCGGCCTTGGCTTCATGGCAAAGCTTGGTCTGTGTCTGAACTAGAGTTAACTCTTCAAACTGTGCTCAGTATCACTTCCTCTGGGAAACATCCTTGACCCTCCCCATCCCTGTCCCAGACAGCATTATTTAATCTTTCTAATCTCTTTGCCATTTCAGTGTTTAATGTAGAAGCTCAGGGTGTGGACTCCAGAGTCAGATCACTGGGGTTCATGTCCCAGTGAACACCCTTTTTCAGGCTATGGGGACTCTGGGCAAGTTACTTAGCCTCTATGTTCCTGTCTCCTCATCGGTAAAATGGGGCTAATACTAGTTCTTATAAAATAGTGCTGTCGTGAGCATTAATGACATAACTTATGCAAAGTGTCAGTACATAGTAAGTACCCAACAAATAGCAGTTGTCTATAACTGTCATTGTCTAAAGCATCCCGCGTAGTGATTATCTGCCATTCAGGTAAAGGTTTTGTGCAGAAAACAGAACTGAGCTGAACAGAATGATGGAAGGTTGTTATCCTTCCTTCCTAAGGGGGAGATGAAGGGCTAGTTTGTGAGAAGGCTGATGGTGCTGCGGGAGCGGTGCAGAGGGGGACCAACCTGCCCTGTTTGTCCAGGATTGGGACACAGCTGGTAATACTGGGATGGTAATACTGCGGTGGTAACACTGGGAAAGCCCTGGGCAAACTGGGACGAGTTGGTCACCTAGCAGTGTGCCTTTGGGGTTTGAGATTGGTCTGTGTTGAGAATCGGAGCTCAGATGGGGTGTTGAGCTAGAGGATAGTTTGGATGGGGGTACAGGGCCAGTCAATGGCCAAGGTCAGGGCTCTTGACTTGGCAGAGTTAAGACTGTGTCAGAGGTTACAGGGGGCAGGGGTCTGGTGTTTGGGACCAACAGAGCAAGCTGGAATGCACAGCGAGCCCGGCGGTAGCGGTCATCTTGTTTGGGAGAGGGGAGGGGAGGGCAGGGGCTGGGCTTTGGCGCCTCCCAGCTGCTCACCTGGCTGAGGCATCGTCCACTTTTTGCACTCAAACAGGCTGCTGGGTGCCGACAGCTCTCCAACACCAGCCCAGTTTACTGCCCGGGCACGGAACTCATAGAAGTGGCCTACATGAAGGTCACTGACCTTGAAGAGCAAAAGCACAGACCGTGAAGGCTGAGGCTGGGGAGGCAGGGGACGAGGTTCACAGCAGGAGGTCTATAGGAGCTTCACGTAAGACTGGTCTGCACTTGACAATCAGCTGGATTGTCGAGGCACCAAACCTGAGGCCTCTCTCAGCCTCAGGACCTCCAACCCTGACCCCCACTCTCTACCCACACAAATCAGGACACCAGGCCAGTGGCCGCATTCCAGCCTCACCTTGCACATCTGGGTGGGGATGGGCTGCTGGTTGACCGAGTGCCAGTCCAGTTGCTCTGAGTCGTGTTGGTCCAGGAAGTAGCCCAGGATCTTGCCCCCTCCACGCCGCTTAGGGGGTTTCCACCCAATGACCATATAATTTTCCCCACAGTTCAGGAGGGCGAAGTCATATGGAGCAGATGGTGCAGCTACGGGGAGGCAAGGGGGTGAGGGCCACTGCTCCCGAGGGGCGGCCGGACTGGGCGGTGGGGCCCGAGGGAGGCAGTGAGCCTCCCCCAGTGGGTGCCCACCCTGCTCTGGGGCACGGACTTAGCCAGTAGCGTCCACTGGTAATGCTGACTCAGCTGCGTGCAGGGCACCTGGGCCTCCGAGCTGGTCAGACTTCACCCCATGGCCTCAGGCCGTTGCTACTTCCTCCCCAAAGGAAGGGGTGGTGGGGGTCAGCACCAGATCCCCTGAGAAGGCTTCTGCCCCATGGCCTCTGGAGTTGGACCCTCCAAGAGGTGGTGGATAAGCCCCCTGCTCTCTGCTCAGCCCAGGTCTGTCCCCAGAGGTGTGCAGGCTGCACCTGCCCCGTGGACTTACCCAGAGCCTGCTTGACCTTGACGGGTTCGGTGGCGGCTGAGCTCTCCCCAACTCCAGCCTCGCTGACTGACCTGATACAAAACTCATACTCCTTCCCTGTCCTCAGCCCGGGAACTGTAAACCTGGGAGAGAAATGTACAGCCTTCAGGAAAGGCCAAACCAGCAGCAGGGAGACATTCCTGAACTTTCTAGAACAACCTTGTGGGGATAAGTGGCCACCAGCGTGGTAGGAGTTGAGGCCTCAGTTCTTGCCTAAAGACCTTGCCCCTGCCCCCAGAGTGATGCCTGCCCCCTGGAGGATGAGGTCCTTAAGGTTTTAAAGGATGTAGTTTCCAGAGCCCATCAGTAAGGTGCAAATACGCTGGGAAAGTTACCAGTTGAAGGCCCAGGTAGCCAACCCCTAAACTGAGCAACTGGTACATCTCTAGGACTTTGGGCCTCGTCCTGGAAACACAACAAATGGCTCTTCTGATCCGTACGGATGCTGTGACTACAGCACAGAGTCCTTTTAAAGACCCCTGAATTACCAGCCAGAGACGTACAAGGACACTCTGCTTACAGAAAAATGTCCTCCCATCCTGTCTCTTCTTTTTTTTTTTTTTGCAGTACGCGGGCCTCTCACTGTTGTGGCCTCTCCCGTCGCAGAGCACAGGCTCCGGACGCGCAGGCTCAGCGGCCATGGCTCACGGGCCCAGCCGCTCCACGGCATGTGCGATCTTCCCGGACCGGGGCACGAACCCGTGTCCCCTGCATCGGCAGGCGGACTCTCAACCACTGTGCCACCAGGGAAGCCCCTGTCTCTTCTTGATAAGATCCAAACTCTGAACCTCTTTTTTCCTTTTTCACTTATCAACATTTTCCTGTAGCAAATCTTGTTCTACAGGGAGCTTCCCTCGGCCAGTTGACCCCGAGGAGTTGAATGTTGGAATGTCAGAGGGGCCTTTATGGATCAAACCATTCAGTTTCTTCATTTCACAGGTAGGGAAGGGCTTCCCCAGAAGGAATGGGGTGAGCCAAGAGCACACAGCCAGTTAGGAACAACCTGGACCGAGCCCGGTCTCCCGAATCCCAGCGCAGCGCCTGCCTGTTCAGTATTCATTCATTCAGGTATTTTTTGAGCATCTCTTGTGAGCCAGGTTCTGAGGAGCTCATGGAACAGTGGTGGAACAGACCCTACCTCCCAGCTGAGCTCCCTTCACACCATCACACCAGGCAGCACTGCTGGGCAGCAGTGTTTAGCCTCTTTCCAGCCCTGACACATGTAACCGATGACATGCACGTGTGTGACGAGGTCTCTGGATGTACCAGAGGGTCACGCCACGCCCCACGTGTGGCACGTTCTTCCGACATGCCACTTTCAACACGTGACTCTCCCTCAGCCCCTGTCCTCCCCTTCAGGGACGGACATCTGAATGCAAGTCAGGGGAGTGATGTCATCCTAGGGATAACCTGGACTCCGAGCTCATTTGTCCAAAACCCAATTAATTATTCTCCAACTGGAGAACTTTAGCAGTGACAAAGCATGAGTGACCGTGAGGCACCGTGTGCCAGAGGGGCACCAGGTCCTGTCCCCTTTTCTGGGTGAGATAATCTTGGGGCTCGCAGCCCAGGGTGAGGGGAGCCCACAGGTGTGCTCAGGGCCCAGCCGGTCGTCTGATGGAAAGGGAAGGGGGGGGTGTCACCACCTGAGCCCCTGCCCCCACAAAGCCTCAAAACGGAGAGAAGTCATGAGTCCAGAAGCCTCGAGGGTTCTGCCTGCGAGGACCGGGGCCACCGAGTGAGGAGGGAGACTCTGAGGGGAGTGGGAGTGGCATAGGCAAGAGCACAGGAGTCTGGGCCGAGGTTCAGAGAGGGCGAGTCTCTGTGCAGGGGTGCCCGGCGAGTGAGGGGTGGGTGTGGAGCCTGAACCCCAGCCGCCCAGGCTGCACTCTCTGCCTCTCTGTCTCTAAGCTCCTGGAAAGACAAGGCCTCGGCAGTCACCACTACCTGCAAACAGCACGCTCCTAGTGAGTGTTGCCGCAAAAGAGGCCGTCTGGACCAAGTGCACTTACTAGCTAGGTGAGCTTTGGCAAACTCCGTAACTGCTCTGTGCCTCGGTTTCTTCATCTGTACAATGATAATAGAAGTAATAGTCCTAAGTTCAGAGGATTGCAGCTAGAACTGAATGACCTAATATATGAAAAGAACTTAGAACAGTGCCCAATGCCCAACCGTACAGTGAACGGCAGAGGCTTCATTATTATTCCGGCCCTGCCCTAGGGCAGGAAGGGGGTGGGGGCAAACTCACCTGCTGCCCTGGATGGGTTTGTTGTTAACTGTTTTCCACTCAGATGATCCTGCCTCCCGGGAGTAGATGTAATAACCCAGGAGCTCTGGGCTGTCTTTCACAGGATCCCAGGTCAGGGAGACAGAGGTCTGCGTGTCTCGGAAAGCTTGAACTTGAGTTGGAGGAGGGAGAGTGGCTAAAAATCAGAAGTGTGGACTGAGTGAAGATGCTGAGTTACACGGCTGGGGAGGGGGAGGTGTGTGGGAGAGGCGGGGAGGTGCGCACATGGCAATCAAGGGGGGCACGTGCGTTGCAGACATGCCCTGGGGCTTTGGGCAGCTCCTCCCTAGTCCCAGAGGTGTCCTCCAGACTCTTGTGTTCTGAAAGTCTTCTCTCATCTTACCTCCAAACATCTCCGCTTCCTCACTAAAATCCCCATTCATGAACCCTACTATCGCTCGCTCTCTCTTAGAAGTCACCAGATCTGACAATTTCCTCAGCCTTATCTTTGATCTCTAGGAAGCTTCCTTTTATTTCCCTTGAAACTTTAACTTTCATGGCTCCCTGAGACTACGCTCCTTGAGGTAGGGTTTGCCATGATGTGTTAAATGGACAGATCTGGATGGACGGACGGATGGACGGATGGATGGATGAATGGATCAATAGACTAATGGATGGACAGGTGGATGAATAGATGGATAGACGGATGGATGGATGGATGTCAGATACAGGACCTTCCTAGTTCTCCTTTTCCTTCTCAAACTCCTTACACATCCTTTTGTGGCTCCCCCTCTTTCTTGTTTTTTTTTTTTGCGGTACGCGGGACTCTCACTGCTGTGGCCTCTCCTGTTGCGGAGCACAGGCTCCGGACGCGCAGGCTCAGCGGCCGTGGCTCATGGGCCCAGCCGCTCCGCAGCATGTGGGATCTTCCCGGACCGGGGCACGAACCCGTGTCCCCTGCATCGGCAGGCGGACCCTCAACCACTGCACCCCCAGGGAAGCCCTCCCCCTCTTTCTTTTGTCACCACATGTGCGACTCCTCCAAGTGTCTGCTCCTTGACTTGCTCCATTTTTCTCCTCTTTTCTCATCTCAAGTGTCCACCTATTCCCATGTCTTCAGCCCTCACCTCTCTGCAGGCGACTCCCCAGGCTTTACCTCCAGGCCTGCTCTCTCTCCTGAATTCTAGAGCCTCATCTTCCATTTTTCCCTGGACGCCTCTCCTTGTGTTCTGGTGGTGCCTCAAAGTCAACAGGCAGAGGCTGAACTCAGCATCAATCCAACATAAATCCTGTAACTACTGAGTGCCTGCTCTGAGCCAGGCTCTGCATCTGGCCCAGGGGAAGTACTGAGAAACAGACTTGGGGTCCTGGGCTCAGGAAGGTCCTGTCAGCAACTTCAGCCTCTCAGGTTGAAGACAGGGTGACAGTGGATGAAGGCTGGGTGGTGGGAGAGGGTAGAAGGAGGGCACTCAGGGGCCCCATGTGTCCAAGAGACCTGATTCTACCCGTAGGCAAGAACTTGAGCTGAGGACATCCATGTAGGGAGTAGTACTCACGCACCAACATCATGATTTCAAGACCTGAGGATATGTTTGTGGTATAATGTTAATTGTAAGAGGTAGAATGCAAAGCTCTACACGTGGTTTGATTGGACTTTCAGAAAGATGCATTGGCGTGCATGCGTCAGAGACCAGAGGCCCAAGCGCCTAGATGTTCACAGTGGTTACCCTTGGTCAGCGGGATCCTCCCTCCCTCCCTCCCTCCCTCCCTCCCTTCCCCTCTCTCTCTCTCTCTCTCTCGCTTCTTTTGTATTTTCCCATTTTTGTACAATAACTTCACTTTCGTAATACAAGTAAATGTCTTTTCTTTTTTCCTCTCCTCCCCTCCTCTCTCTTCTTTTCCTCTCCTTTCCTTCTCCGAACTGTACCAGAACCTTGCCCTAAGGCTGCCTTGTGGTCCAGAGACTGCCCACATCCAATCACAAACCAGTCACTGGCCAGGCCCCTGAGTCAAGACTAAATGTTAACCAGACCAGAATTAAAGAAAAACTCCATTTGCCCACCAACCTATTTATACTTACTATGAATATATATCTATATCTATATCTATATCTATATCTATATCTATTTTTCTACATTATTGAAACAGTACAAATCTAGGACTTTGGAATCTTCCCAAACAGGCCTTGCAGCGTATCAGGCTCTTTTCAGATGGGCAGCGCTACAGCTGGTTCCTTAAAGGACTAGCTGGTGATGGCAGGGAACCTTCTGATCTTATCAGAATCCAGAGGCCTGAGAGGAGAGAGGGAACCCCGGGAAGTCAGGACCAGGATGGAGCTGCCGCTGGGAGACTCGGGAAGGAGCCACAGGTGGGGGCGATAACCAGGCCTTCAGAACAGCGGGTTTGGCAGGTGAGGACACCGAGGTGCGCAGCTCAGAAATGACCTGCCCAGGCCCACGCCGTGCTGCAGATGAGAGGGGTCCCACCTGGTGAGGCGGATTGGGGGGGGACCAGGGAGAGGGCCGGAGGCCTGCCCTGGGGCTCACTCCTGGCTGCACAAGGTGGGTTCAGGCCCTGGTTGGAGACGTTTAGAACTGAGGGACCACTTGGTCACACTCAGATTCTGTGCTGGACCTGGCTGGATTCTGCAACCTGTGAATTGTTGATCTAGAAAAAAATGTCTATACTTTCAAGAGCCTCTTGCCCAGAGAAATGTATCAATAATTCTTGATGGTCTAAAGTTTTACAGGCCTGTGATCATGTTGCTTTTCAGCTTCGTGATAGGTAGAAGTGGTCAAGGACAGAGAAACGGGCACGGCTGCGTCCCTGCAGCCATGGGGTCCCGAGCCCCGGATGCTGACAGCCTGGTCTGGCCTGGCCTGGCCCCACCTCCTGCATCACACAGGTACCTGGCTTCCCCCTCAAGGCGATGGGCTCGCTGGGCTCCGAGGGATCGCTCATGCCGTACTGGTTTATCGCTCGCACTCTGAAGACGTACGACTTCCCTTTCTCCAGATCCAAAAGGGCGAATCTCGGGGATTTCACAGGCGTTTCTGAGTTGATGGCCTCCCAGGTGCCGCTACCTATGACCGACTGTGACAAGGGAGAGAAACTTGCCTTTGGTTAAGTGGTTGCCTTCCCACATGTGCTCTCACTAACTTCTATCCTTGGCCCAGGCTGCCCCTCAACACCTGAACTCTGGATCCACCTGCCTCCGTGACGTCTCTACCTGGATGCCCATCGAGCATCTCACATTCAACAGAACTGACCCTGGAACTTGCCCCCCTGCCAATGCAGCCCACATCGAGTTAGTGGCACCCGTCCTTTCAGCTGTTCAGGCCAGAACCCTGGGAGCCATCCTGGACTCTTTCTCTCATTTCTCATCCCCCGAAGATGCTCTGTCAACAAACCCAGTTGGCTCTACCTTCGAAATTTATCCAGAGTCCAACCATGGCTTTTCAGCCTCATGCTCCCCTCCACAGCCTTGATCCAAGCCACCATCGTCTCTCACCTGAGTTACCTCAATAGCCTCCTAACTGGTCTGCCTGTTTCTACCTTTAACTACCTTCAGTCTTTTCTCCAAATGACAGGCAGAGGCATCCTTTTACAACACAAGTCAGATCACATCCGTGTCTGCCCAGAACCCTCCCAAGCCCTGCATCTCCCTCAGAGTGAAATTCTCCATGGCTTGACTCCTGCCACCTGTCTGGCCACATTCCATGCCCCCCTTTGCCCACTCACCAGGCTCTGTGTCCCCCTGCTGTTCCTTGATGGTGCCAGGCCCAATCCCTGCCTCTGGGCCTTTGCACTTGCTGGTCCCTTTTCTTGGAATGTTCTTCCCCCAGAAATCTCTGGTTTGCCCCTCACTTCCTTTGGGTCTTTACTCAAAACTCACCTTCTCAGGGTGGCCTCCCCAGCACCGCCCCCCCATATGAAAGGTCAGCAGCCCCTCCCTCAACACTTCAAATCCCCTCCATGCTGTCTGTCTTTCTCCTAAGCTCCTACCATTAGCAAATGTGCCAAATACTTTTCGGATTCATCTTCTTTGTCATCCATCCCCCACCCCCTACTCCAATCTCAGCTCTGGAGGCAGGAGTTTGTCTGTTTTATCCACCACTGAGAACAGTACTGACGCATGAGAGGTGCTCAGTCTATGTTTGTGGGATGAATACATGAGTAAATGGATGAATTCTCACAATAACTCTGCAAAGTAAGGGTTAATTTCCCCACCAATGAGGAAATTCAGGTTCAGGAAGTTTTGGTAACTTGGCCAAAAGTCACGCATCTAATAGCTGGCATATTTGGTATTTAAGCTCAGCTGTGGGTACCCCCAAACCTGCTCATTCTACACAGCATCAGGGGCCCCAAAGGCAGCCATAAATCCTGTGTCTCTGGGTAGATAGAGGGTGAAGAGCCGAGGGTGATGCAGGTTAAAAGACACCCAGAGGCCACTTCTGCCGAGTCTGGGTGTGAGAGTTAAAACCTAGAAGCCCTGGGGGGACCCACTGACCCTGCCCTCTCTGTGCTTTTCCCTCCCAAGGCCCACCTGGCTGTCAGTAGCCTAGAACCCAGGTAGGCTGAGAAATCACTACAGAAACCAAGGAACACGGCTGAGCACCCACTGCGTGCCAAGTTCTGTTCTAAGTCTTGACGTGCTTTAGTTAATTTGATTCTCACATCAACCCTATAAGATGTACAATTATTATGTCTATTTCATGGAAGAAGAAACTGAGGCACAGAGAGGTTAAATTTCTTGCCCAAGGTCACACAGCTAGTAAGTAGCAGAGACAAGATTAGAGCCCAGGCAGTCTGACTCCAAGGTCTTAACCATTATACGCTATAGCCTCACAAAACAAATCCTCCATTATCCATAGCTTTCCCATGTCAGAGAAATAGGATCACCTGTGAATGTGCAGAGAGGCCCATCTGGACAACGAGAGCCACAGACTCTTCCCTGGAACCTTTTTATTCCTTGATTCACTAAACCTGTACCGTCCACCTGCCATGTGCCAGGCACCGTGCTGGACCCAGCGAGTAATGAGAAGGTAAACCTGGTGTCTTCCGTTAGGGGGATCAGAGGCAAGAGCATCTCCTTGGGAAGGGTTTACAGTCCCAGGGCTGCGGGCCCTGGCTATGTGCTGCTTTTATTTCACCCTCACAGGGTAGGGTGTCCATTCTATGCTGGAGGAAACTGAGGCTCAGAGAACTTAGCAAAGGAGCTCACACAGCAGAAGTCAGGAATGAAATGGATCTTAACACCATGCTGTTTTTTACTCTGCCACAGTGCCTCCCCTCCACTGTGAAATCCATTTCACATGAGCTGCCCCCCTCCCCAGTCTCCTGCCCCTACTCTGCCCCCAGGGAGAACCGCCTCCTGGTGCTACCCACCTCCACCCCCCATGCCCTGTATGTGCTGTCTGCCAATGACCCTGGCAGGTGGGCACCATCCTGGCTTCCCTCCCACCCTGGCCCTGGCGGAGGTTGGGTGTTCGACCCGATGTGTGACCAGGTGCCGGACAGACTTGGGGTGCGGGTGTACGCAGGACATGGCGGACCTACTGTTGCCATTGTCTGTGTCTCTTGATTTTGTGCATTTCCGTGAACAGCTTCCGGAACTGCCATCAGTAACTGACCTCTCAGGGCTGGAGGTAACCTCGAAAGGTCATTTAATCTACCCGCCTGCCTCTGTGCAGGGCTATGCTCAAGTCTTCCAGGCAGGAAATTCTCTTCTCTTCAGGCCTCCCAGGGGACACTGTCGGGGTCTCCCAGCGCCTCCCTGAACACCCCCCCACGTCCTGGTAACACAGCGCGTCTGTTTCTCAGGCCGGCCTGGGGCTGGGGCCCTTGGGGTCTCCGTACCTTCTCCAGGAAGTACGTCAGTGGGGCTTTGCCCCGGGGTCTTGGCTTCTCCCAGCCCAGAACCACATAGGCCTCGTGGATCTCGCTGGCGTGGACATTGGTCGGGGGCGAGGGGATGGTCACGAAGTCTGGAATCAGAGCCATCGGGGGGGAGGAGATGTGTGGGCCGTCGGAGACCCCAGATCTCAGCCCCTCACTTCATTGAGGAGGGAACTGGGGCCCAGAGAGGGGCAGGAACTTGCTCCAGTCACCCAGCAAGGCCGGGCAGGGCCAGGGCCAGAACCCAGGTCTCCCCACGTCCTGCCGGGACTTTCCCTGACGTCTACTTCCTCCGCGAGGGGCGCAGTCGCCCACCAGAGAGCCTGGCCCCTCAGCCTGGATCCTGCCCGCGCTCGCCTCCCCGCACCCTGCACACGACAGCTTCTGCCTCTGGGTTCAGTTTGTGGCCCAGAGTTTCCAGAACCGCAAAGGGGGCTGGAGTCTTGAGACAAAGTGTCAGGAGGTTCACACGTACCTTCAGAATCATCTGTGCTGACCGTGATCGTTTTTCCTGTATCAAAGGGGATCTCTAGTGGGGAGAAGGGAACATGTTAGGGGAGAGCTAAGGGGTGCAGGGTGTGTGTGGTGGGCGGGCTCAGCAGGCCACAGGGAAGGGCCTGCCCCACTCTGGGTGCTGATTCCTCCCCCGCTCCTGGTCCTGGCCTTCCGGCCCCTCACTGTGTGTCCTCAAGCAGCGATCTCAGGTGTCCAAAGTGCGGCACTGCTGCTCTTGGACCCCAAAGATGCTCTGTCCTCTCGGGACAGAGAGAAGTGATGGGGTCAGATCCCTAGGGCACGGCAAACCCAAATCAGGCTGACTCCTCAGAGCTGAGAGGGCTGTGTTCCCCCCGCCGTGCAGGCTGGGGGCTTCTGAGGCAGGACGGTTTTCCTCCTTCAGATGAAGGGCATCCGAGGAGGGTGCTGTGGTTTTACCCCAGATTAGCATCTTGTGTGGACAGGTTTGTGTTTCTTCCATCAGACGCGCTGTACCTTCCCCCTCCAGCTAGGGGTTGCTAAGGACAGCACTGTCTCCTCCATCAGATTAGGGGTTCCTGAGGGCTGGGCTGTGTCTCCCCTCCTGGATCAGGGCTTGGCATGGGGGCTGTGCGCCTGTCTCCTGCGTGAGGCAGTCCTGAGCATGCCCTGACGGATGCTCTGGAATGTCCCCGCAGGGCCTCTGTGCCCACCTGTCTTCCTCCGGGCTTCCTCAGGGTCGCCCATGGCAACCGGTTCGGAAGCCTTGGAGGGGATGCTGCTGCCCGCTCTGCTGATGGCTCTCACCCGGAACCGATAGCTCTGGCCTTCGACGAGGCCTTGGACTGGGCACCGACAGGTCCCGCCGGGGGCCTGGTGGCAGGGCACCCATTGTTCGGACTCGCCCTGGCACCTGTGGGAGAGAGGCCTCGGCTGCAGCCCCTGCCCGTGACTCACATCTTCCCAGGGTGAGCCTCTTCCAGGGCCCTTCCCCCGCCCTGGGCTGCCGGCCCAGCTCATCTCTCTCCATTTAGAAGCCCGGCTCCAACCTCGGGCCCCAGGATGCCTTCTCACCATCCTCCACCAAGCGCGATGCTAATCAAAATAGCTAGTGCCTCCCATGAGCTTTCCTGCGCGTCTGGAGCCATGCTGTGTCCCTCCGCACCTGTTATCGCGTTTAATCCTGACGGTCCTCGCGGTTAGGTGTGATTACCTTCACTCTACCAACGGGATCCGCGTTTAGAGAGTGAGATGACTTGCCCGAGGTCACATGGCTTGTGAGTGGGCGAGTTAGCCTTTCCCCAGAGGGCTGTCCACTCCCTGTTGGAGAGCCTTCCAGAGTGACCCTCGGAGTCTGGGGTCTCTGTGCCCCCCTGGGTGCCACTGTCCTCAGTACTGGCTGGATGGGGCCATGTACCTCAGTTTCCTCATCTGTAGAATGGGGCACTAGAGAGTCCCCCTGCCCCCTTAGATAGGGATTGTTGGAAGGATTCGAGTGGCTGGTTTAGCTTACCTCCAGCTAGGGCCCCGGAGCCGGCGGCAGGTGAAGGAGGTGGGGTGTTCTAGACCTCCCCTTTCCTGGTGTGCCTCCTCCCTCCCGCGTCAGTGCTACTCTGTCTCCGGCACTCAGGGAGGACAGCATCCACACGTGCTCAGGTTTCAAGCACTGATGTTTGCCCCTCCCAGCGGCAGCTCCTGCTGTAAAGGGTCTAGAGGGCAGCGGCTGACTCCAGGGGCAGACACCCTTCTATTGCCCCTACATAACACATTTACCTCCTGCCCTATTCCAAGGACAGGCACGGGGGTCCCTCTTTCCCGTGGCCCCCACGCTTATCCTCACAGAGCCATCTACCCCATGGGCTCTGCCACTGAAGAGACCGACTCACAGCTCAATGGAGTAGCTGGTGATGGGGTTGCCACGTGTGTCACTGGGCGGGGTCCACGTCAGGATGAGGCAGTCCCTGTTCACGTTCAGGCATCGGACATTCAGGGGGGATCCTGGAGCCCCGGGCTTCTCGGCTGCAGCATCTGAAGCCCGGGGTGGGCGGGGTTGGGAAGAGAGTGGGGGGAGGCTCTTCCTGTCAATGTCCACTTGGCGACAGACCCCCTCCCATTCTCACCCCTCATCCTCTTCTCATTCACCACCCCCCAGGGGCTCAGTTGGATCTCGAGGAGAACGACCTGAATAACAGCCTCTTCCTTTCAAACAACAGCATCTGGGGGTAGGGGTAGGAGTACCGTTTATTAGGGGCCCATTCTACGCCACACACCTGCACAATTGGCATAATTAATCTCTGAGTCCCGGCGCAACCCCCCATCTTGCAGGTGGGAAAACTGAGTGTCATAGAGGAGAAGTGAATTTCCCCAAATCACCCAGCTAGTGAAGTGGCAAAGCCAGGAGACAGAAATCAACCAGGACTAGAATGGTCCCAGCCCACGATCAGCCCTCCCTCTCCAGCTGGCTCCGCGTCTCAGACTCTCAGGCTGTGTCCCTTTGGAGGGTCATGGGATGCATAGGGATTCTTAGAGAGACTCTACCCTAGCACCCCCAATATATAGCATGGAAACCGAGGCCTCAAGGAGCAGGGACTCGCCCAAATGTCCCACAGCAAATCAGTCAAGGCAGAGCCCCGGTCCCCCACCGCCCCCTCACCTCTCACAAACACATAGGCGCTCTGCTCCCGGAGCCCAAAGGGCGAGGGCACCTGAACCGTGTAGAGACCCTCGTCCTCCTTGTAGGCACAGGACACCTTCAGGGACGCCTGGCGGTCTGCGTAGAGGATCTGCCGGCAGCTGGAGGACTTCAGCAGCCTCCCTGCAGAGGGAGGGGTCCAGGGTGAGCCCGTGGGGGATCTGGGCCTCACCTGGGAACCCACAGATGCTCTGGGGGTCTAGGCAGAGGGGAGTTTGGCCTGGCTAGAGCCTGAGGCTCTGCTGGGCAGTTGGGGAGGGGGTGGTGACCTCCAGGACTCTGCCAACGTGGTCTCTGAACTCTCCTCTGCAGAAGGCTTGAGGCGGGCAGGGGGTGGCAGGGCCGGGCCCAGGGAAGGGGCTGGGGCTTCAGTGAGGTAATGAGGGTTCAGGGAAGTGGTCAGCGGCTGGGTGAGTGGCTCGGTAAGGAGTCGGAGGTCCTGTGAAGAAGTGGGACCAAGAGAGATGGGGCCTGTGTGAGGGTCAGGGGCTCATTGGGACGCTGGGGGCTGGAGAAAGGAGGTGGGGCTCGGTGGGCAGGGGGTGTGAGCTTAATGGAGGGAGGGGGGCCTGTTGAGGGGGGTGGGGACTCAGGAAAGGGATAGGGGACTTACTGAAAGAGTCGGGGTACCAGTGAGGCGGGTGGGGACTGGGCAGGCGGGACCTCAGTGAGGGGAGGGGGAAGGGGCTCTGGGGCTCTAGGCCTCTCCCCGCGGTCCTGCTGTTGCCCCACCCTGCTCTTTGTGCCACGTGAAGGCCCCTCCCTCCTGCCAGCACCTCTGTTCTGGAAGACCTGCGGGTTTGGGAAAGCTCTTTGCCTGTTGTCGCAGCTGTTTCTCAGGGCTCGTGACTTTCCCACTCCTCCACTCCAGCCCCCAGCAGGGGCAGCTTCCCCAGGCTCAAGCTCTGGGGTGTCAGGGGGCTGTGCTCCTGGCCCTTTGGCTGCAGGTCTGGTCACGAATGGGGCAGGAAGCCCAGCTGTTCCTCTCCTCCCTGGCTGACCGGCCTTCCCCAGCCCTGGCCCATGACCCCCCGTGAACCTTCCAGCTCACGAGTAGCAGTTATGTACCTGCACCTACAACCCTGACTCTGAAAAGCCCGAGGCAATTGTCACAACCTGCCCTGACCTTCCTCAGGCTGACCTGCTCCTGGCCTTAGCCTCTGTTCTTGTTGCTTCAAATGTCATTACCTACCCCTAGGGCGCTGATGTCGAGCCCATAGATGTAAAGGGCTGGGCTGGTGCCTGGCCAACCACAGGCTCTCAACGGGCAGTGTGCAATTGTGTTCTGGCTTCCTGCTTCCTCCCGGATGGACAGCCCCTTGAGCTTACGCATGTCTGTTCCTAACCCTGCCCCGGCACCCAGCACAGGGCCTGGCACCACAGGTGCTCGGTGACACTTTGCAGGGTGACTTGATCTGAACCCACCTGGCTGTGCTCTGCTTCCCTCTACCTCATCGGCACCCATCGCCCAGCTTGTACCAGTTAGGGGGCAGGCATAGCTGAGTTCCTCTCTCCACCGGGGGTCCCAGGGGTGGGAATGGAGCCAGGGCTCTAGTCCCTCTCTGGCTTCCACCTCTGCCTCTGCAGGCAAGGGGCCAGGACTAGGGGTCCTCACCATCCCGGAACCACTGGATGTTCTGCTCGGCGTCTAATACATCTTCAGAAAATAGGCAGGACAGGGAGAAGGGTTCCTTCTCACGGGCGAAGACTGGTTTCAGCACCGATGTGAATTCCACGTTGGAGCCAAACATCAGTCCTGAGTGGGAACAGAGATTTAGGGCAGAAGTCTTCTAAGGCTGCCAGCTCAGCCTGGGGCTTAGATGCGAGTGAGGACCCTTCTGGGGTGTCCCCGCTCCTCTGGGTCAGGATTCACAGTTTTGCAGGTGGTGTTAACAAAGAGAAGAGGGGGCCTGATCCTGGGGGCCGGGGGTGGGGGAGAGATTTCTCTGGGTGGGACCAGATGAGCTGAAACGGCAAATACTGGTTTGTCTTTTTGGATTTGCCTTTTTCTCATTCAGTCTTGGCCACTGAGAGTGCAGCAGCTGGAGGCGGCTCCGGGGTGCCTAGGGACCCCAGAAACCAGTCTACAGGTATGAACAGTTTATAGGCAAACCACACGTGGACATCCCTTTGTGGGCAGTGGATGGCGATATTCTAAAGGGGACTGTTGGGGGCCCTGACGAGGAGCCCCAGACACCCTCCTCCCTGAGGGCCCGTCCCTCCCCAAGCCTCCTTACTTTTAAAGATCTCCGAATCGAAGCCAGCATCCTTCCCCAGGTAAGCTGAAAACCCAGAGCAAATGGAGTTGGAGAAGGCTCAGAGCCCACGTTCCTACTGGATTTTGGAGGCATGGCCTTTGGTCATGGGTTTGAATCCTGATCTGGCAGTGGCTCCCCCCTTCAGCTTGGGGAAAGTTCCCTAGCCTTTCTGTGCCTCAGTTCCTTATTGACTCCTCCCTGATGGTGGTGGCGGGGGGGGGGGGTTCTGAATACATGAGTTCACATGAACAAAGCCCTCAGCAGGAACCTGGCATACAGTCAGTGCTCAATAAATGGTGGTTTCCTTCCTTTACCCAAGTCCACCGCCAGAATCACAGTCCTACAGGTGGAGCCTGGTCAGACTGGGATTTCTGGTGGGTCCAGGGCAGTGCTAAGAGAGCCTCCTGGAGGCTTCAGGGTGAAGTCCAAGGTGGTGTGGACACGGACCACCAGGGGATAGTGAGAACATTTTTATTCACATAGCGGGTACCATGTGCGCTTATTAACTCGTTTAATCCACAGCAGCCTTGTCTGTTGTTGTCATTATTATCCTCTCATACAAATGAGGAAACTGAGGCATAATCACCTAGCGAGCACCCCAGCAGCCTGAAGCCAGGACATGACACTGGTCCCTGGGATGGCCTTGATGGAGGAGGGATGGGGATATGTGGATGAAATCATGGAGGGGCGGACAGAGGAAGGCAGGGCACAAGGGCCTGATGCCTGACCTTGCAATCGACTCTGGGCACTGCCTATAGGAACGGCTCAGATTCCACCCAGAGAGCCTGGCCTGGCAGCGGGGACAGCTGCCTACCAAGAGCGATTTGGGGAACAAGGCAGAGGGGTGGAGAGGCTGTGAAGGACAGTTTAAGAAGGTCCGATGAGAGGCTGGGGACTGTCTGCTGCTCAGTGTGTGTGTGTGTGTGTGTGTGTGTGTGTGTGTGTGTTTGTGTGTTTGTGTGTGTGTGCAGCTTCTCTCAGGGCCCTGAGGGCAAAGCCTTGGGCTCAAAGGTGTGGCCTTCTGGGCTGGGCTCGGCCCTGATCCAGCCAAGTTTTACCTAAACCATCTCATTTAATCCACAGGAGTATCTGAGGGAGGCGGTAGGATGCCCCCTTTGCAGGTGGGGAGGTCAGGTAAGTGAGACGGCACCCAGGCTCACACGGCCGGTCAGCGCCAGAGGCAGCAGGTGGACGGGGGCCTGAAGGAGTCCTGAGTGTCTCCTCTGCCTCCTGCTGTGATTAACCTCCAGGAGGGACCTGAGCCCACTGGGGAATATGCACCAGAAGCCAAAAGGGGCAGTGGGGGTCAGGAGGGGACTTGGTAGGAATCGACCTTTGCCCCTGAGGACCGCTGGTAGCCAGGCCGCCCTCCCAGAGGCCCTGAGCTGGATCTGGACCCAAGCCCAGCTCGATGGGATGAGCATGCTCTTTGGGGACAGGCAGGTGGGGTCCCCTTGAACAGGGATGTAGGTTGTACAGTCTGAGGGCGGAGGATCTCACTTGCTCTGAAGGCCCTGGGGAGCAGGAATCCCGGTGGCTGCCCTGGTCACCTGATCCCAGACCAAATACCCCTGGGCTGGGGGTCCCTCCCCGAGTCTGGCGCAGACTCATGTCCTCATCTGCTCATCTGGGGTTTGCTGTGGGCTTTCTGGCCTGTTGGTGATGGCAGGACTCACTGCGGACAAGGACTTTGGCGAAGGAGGAGGCCTGGCCGTAGGCGTTCTTGACCATCACTGTGTAGGTGCCTGCGTCCTCAATGGTGCATCTGAAAAGCAGGGAGGGAGATGTTCCCCCCGGGACGGCTGGGCTCCACGGGAAACTCAAGTCCCCGTGCAGGTGGGGTGTGGGGGGAAGGGGGGGGGTTAACAGGAAGGCCTGGGGGAGGACTTCAGGCTCTAGGTCAGGGCCTGCCTCTGAGAAGCTGGGGGTCTTTGGGCTGCCACTGTCCCTCTCCAGGCCTCCAGGTCCTCCTTTGAAAATCTCGGGATGTAACAGCAGCCTAAACCACCTCAGGTGAAAGTGCTTTGAAAATATGATTGTTATCAGAACACTTAAGCTAAGTGACTTGTCCAGAGTCCCAGAGCAACTGGAATTCAACCGAGCTTCGAGGGGACGAGCCCTCCCCCAGGCACGGCCTCTGGCCCTATCAACACCTCCAGAGCAGAACCCTGGAGCTGGAGCTGCCCCAGGTACACTGCCAGTCTGTGCCAGAACTGGGCTGGATGCCTAGGGGTTCTCAACCGCAGGCCTGGTTTTCACCACCAGCCAGGCCAGCCTTGTCTTGTTCCCAGTGGAGGCTTGGGCCAGCTCCACCCCAGGGCACCACGGTGGCAAAGAGGGTAGATGGTAGGACACAAGTCACATATCCAACCCCATCAGCAAGCAGAGAGGCCCCTCGGTGCCCCCTCCCCTCCCCTCGCTGCTCGGGGCAGGAATCCCTCTCGTTTCAAGGGCCGGTTCCATGTGTCCCTCCAGGCTGCCCAGCCCTGCATGCTCTCCCCGACTGTGCAGCCCACGGGGCGCCTCCCTTTGCAGCCTTGGATGGTCAGGTATTTATGTCCATGTAGCCTCACTTTGCTTCTCGAGGGTCCTGTTCATATTTGTGTCTCTGAAGCCCGAGTTGCTTGAGGTGGAGGGTTTGGTGTATTGGAAAGAACCCAGATGGAGAGAACTGACTCAAACCCAGGCCCTGCCCTGTACAGGCTGCGCAAGACACTTAATCTTTCAGAGCCTCCGTTTTCTCACCTGTAAGACGGACAGAACAACCCTTCCCTGCATTGTGGAGAATGGTGGTGGGCATTATGTGTAAAGCAGCGAGCGCAGGGCTTAGCACCCGGAGGAATTCAACCCCTGGCAGCTCGTACGCATAATGCACACTTCGGGGCCGACTGTGCTCCAATTCTCCCTCCATACGTCCTGCCTCTTCTTTTAAAACCATGCTCAAGACTCACCACCTCCTAAAACGCCTGCCTAACTCTCTCCTTCCAGCTGCTCCCCCTTGCACGTGTGTGTGTGTGTGTGTGTGTGTACGTGTGTTTTCTCTCCTCCAGCAAGGAGCTCTCCCTGCATGCCTAGCTCAGCATTCATTCAGTCCTTGCTGCTAGCCTCTGAGTCCAAATTTTTCACCGTGTATCCCAAGGCTTTAGAATCATATGGGGGTGTTTGTTAAATACAAATGCCTGGGCCGCACTTCAGAACTAGTTAATCTGACTCTCTGAGGGCAAAAGGAGGGTACATCCCACAAATCAGTATTTTAACAAGCACCCCAGATACTTCTGAAGATGAGGCTGACTTGGTTCATAGCTCCGAGGAAGGGTTTGGATTCATCGCTCTGGCCGTGGTAGTGCTAGGACTGGGGGCCGCGGGTCTCTAGGGCTCATGGTCCTACCTCCTAATCTCCAGTGTCAGCAGTCCATAGTTATTGGTGATTCGGTACTTTCCGGCAGGGAAGAGGCGGAGATCAATTCGCATGTCATTTTTGTACCTGTAGAGACACAGTGGTGTGTGGAAGGCAGTGTGATTCTGTGTGGGAAGGATCCCGAGCCTCTCAGACCTGGATTCCAACCTCGGCTTTGTGCTGCTTACCTGTGTGACCCAGGGCAGCACTTTCGCTGCTCTGAACCTCAGTTTTCCTCATCTGTGAAATGGGAATAATAATTGCACTGACCTTGTAGGGTTGTTGTGATGATTAAATGGGATAAGATATGTAAAGCTTGAAGACTATACATATCACTGGTCCCCAACCTTTTTGGCACCAGGGACTGGTTTCGTGGAAGACAATTTTTCCACAGACCGGGAGGGGTGGGGAGGGGGATGGTTCAGGGGTCGGGAATCCCTGCTGTAGATGCTCAAGGGTTCATTCTCTTCTGGAGGGCGAGAAGAGGGAGCTGTCATTAGGGGTATCTGCCCCTCCCCCTACCAATGGTATCTCCCAAAGACCAGGCCCCAGCTTTTCCTTCCTCTCTGAAGGGGGTACCAAGGAAAGTTCCCCATCCCTACCTTCTTGTCAACCCCAAGGACAGCAGTTCTTGATCTCAGTTCTTGTTAAAATCACTAGAGGAAGCTTTAACAATCTCCATGCTCAGAGTCTGAACGTAAGCCTTTGAGAATTTGCTCCAGAAACTGCTCATTGGTCTCCCGTAGCCATTCGCCCTCTTATTCTAAATTAAATATGACATGTTTCTTAGCCTCTCTTTCTGCTAAGTGTGGCCATGTGACTAAACTAAGTCTTGTCAGCAGAAAGTAAGTACAAGCTTCTGATGACATCCTTTGCCCCTTTTCCCAGCATCTTTCCCTCCATTCTGCGGCAAGAATATGGCCATGAGGGCTGCATCTCGAACCAGGAAGGCCTGTGCCCTGAAGCAGTGTGAGGGAACAGGGCTGCGTCCCTGAGGAATCTGTGGTAGAGTTGCCACAGCAGCCCTGCCCTGTCTACATCAGACATTTACATGAAAGAAAAAAAAGATCTATCTTATTTAAGCCTTAAAAAAATCTCCATGCCCAGTCTCAAGCCCAGATCAATGAAATCAGAGTTTCTGGGCATGGGAACTAGGTATCAGTAATTTTTTAAATTTCCCAGGTGATTCCCGAGCATGGCCCTGCAGATCGCCCTGCCCCGCTCTACCCTGGATACTTCCTTTTGTTTTCTGTGAACTCTGGGGTCTGGTTTTATCTGCCACAGGCACTGAACAATGAGGTGGCCTTGTGTCTGTCCACAGCCCACTGGGGTATGTTCTGGAAGCCTGAGGAGTCGGGGTTGGCAAGTGAATGTCTGTGAAAATTAGCTTGCTGTGTGACCTTGGGCAAATCAGTCCCCCTCTCTGGGCCTCTGTGTCCATGAGAACTTTGCATGAAAAATCAGCCCCAGTGGTGGTTGAGTTCAAAGAGGAGGCCTTGGCCAAGAGAGGGCGCCCCAACCTCAGTACATCACCTTCCTTGGACAGCACCCCCCCCCCCCGTTTGTCTCCATGGCAACCAAACAGTGCTGTGCCCACGCCCCACTACACAGCCCCCAGGCTGTGACCTCTTCTGAAAGGAACCCAACTAAGTCTCCTGTGGGGAGGATGGTGCCTAATCTGCATGCCCAATCTTTCCACATCTCCCAGGCCTGGGGGCCAAGGTCAGCGCCCCCACCCGCCAGCTGTCAGGAACATTCCAGACAACTCAGCCTGGCCAGCTTTCTGCCTTTCCCAGAAAAAGCAGCAGCTGCAGCTCTGGGCACAACCTGGGCAGCCAGAGACCTGAGGTCTCATTTTGTCCCCCTCTGGGCTTCAGTCTCCTGCCTGTACAGCAGGCCTTTGAAGGATGAGGCTGAATGGCAGCCAATCATAAAACAGCATTAAGTGAGACAGCTAAGGCGAGGCACCCAGCCCAGAGCCTGGCTCAGAGAGGCCCACATAAAAGAGTGAGATTTCTATTATTTTTCTAGGTTTATTTTTCCCCTACATATTCTGGTGTGTTTCCCCCCCCCCCCTTTATTTTTTTAATTTTTAAGTTTTTGGCCATGCGGCTTGTGGGATCTTAGTTCCCCCACCAGGGATCGAACCTATGCCCCTGGCAGTGAAAGCGCCGAGTCCTACCACTGGCCAGCCAGGAATTCCCCATATTTTGGTGTGAGATTTTACTTTTGAAGGCGGCTTGGCCTGGGAGAGTGATTCTGACATTAATCAATTGTGGCCAGGGCCCACTTCTGCAGTATAAACATAGCCAGCCTGGGCCTTGCCTAACTCGCCTGAAGTTGCCCCTGCATTCAGGAAGTGCTCAATAATTGGTGAATGAATGGACTCGCCTGACAAGCCTGGGCAGCCAGTATCTTCCTGCTGACCGGGGGGCTGGGTCTCTACCAGGGCCCGGGCAGAGCTCTGGAGGCCAATCCCAGGATGATGTGTGGCCCTGCCGGAGGTAACTGATGATGGGAAACCAGATCCCAAAGCCAGGAGCCCCGGGGGCCACCTGAGTCCCTCTGGCTGGAGGTGGGCCTGGCCTTGGCCTCTGCCACTTACAAAGAATGCTCAGCTCCTTGTTGTGGCAACCTTGCTGGCAAGGGTGGAAACAAGACTCCTTCCCAAGAGGTTCCCATGGCATGGCTTAGATGTGGGCCTCAGTGCCAGGGCAGGGCAGGGCAGGGCTTAGCTGCCAGGCCAGGCCAGCTGAGCAGCTGACCCCCACTTAGCCCAGGCTGGCTGTTGGGAGCAGTCCTCCTATCGGACTGCCTTGGTTCCCAAGGAATTTGAATGAATGCCACCTGGCAATGACCAGCCCCAAGGCCACCTCCCTCAGAACACTCTTCTTGATTGCTCTTGGCCTAAGCTCTTTTTCTTTCTCGGACTTCTGAGGCATTATATATGCTTTAAGGAAAAAAAAAAAAAAAGAAAAGCCAACTGGAATGATCACTTTCCTACTCTCCACCCCCACCTCCACCAGGCCCATTCAGGAGGCTCCTGCCTCTGCCCGCCTCCGCCAGCAAGGCTTCGACTCTGTGGTTCTGTCACGGGTTCACTCCCAGGAACGGCACCTCCTGCTTTCCCAGCACCTTTCAAGTTCTGAGGGCTTCCACGTTGTCGTGGCATTAAATCCTCAGCACGTGCAAGCCGGACAGGAGGTCTTCAACGCATTTTACAGAACAAGAAATGGAGGCAGGACCAGAGAGGTTAAGAGCCGTAGTTGAGACCACACACCAAATTGGCAGAGAGAGAGCGAGGCCTGAGCTCCTTCTCACTGCAGGGCCCCCGCCCTCCCTGCCTCCCCCCATCTTCCTGCAGCCCCAGGGATGTCCAGCTCAGAGCAGCTGCCTTCACATGCCACCAGAACCATATTTTTACAAGCGCTGGCTCCCCAGGCAGCCCAGACTTCTAGCCCCAGGCTGGCTGGGAGGCAGCTAAGAATAACCCCTCTTGAGCCTCCCCAGCAGCTGCTGCTCTGTTTGGGGAGGGCAGAGCTCAGGGTCTGTGGGTCTGCAGCTTTTCTAAGGCGGCAGGAACTTCTAGGGGAGGGGCCGGGTCCCTGGAAGGGAGGTGTTGGGTGTAAGGAACTCACACTCAGGGAACCCCAAGAGGCCCAGAGCATGGGGGCAGGGCAAGGACCCCTTCTCTCCTGCCCCCCGGGGGCTTACCAGGTGACCTGGGGTGGAGGCGAGGCCTGGACGGTGCAGGTCAGTAGGACCGTGGTGTGCTCCCAGACGGCGTGGGAGCGCAGCGGGATCCAGAACCAGGGCCCGCGTCCGGAACACAGATCCCTCAGCTCCTTGGCCTCCCGGACCTTCTTCTCTGTCTGGAGGTGGGAGGGGGCCTGTGACTTCTATGAGCCGGGGTACCACCTCTCCCCAGTCTTTGCTGTTACCTTTCCCCCGACACCCAGGCTCTGGAGTCGGGCCCACGTGGGCTGGAGCCGCGCACCCCCCCAACCAGCGGCTGAGAGGCAGCGTGCCACAGAGGGCAGGGCGTGGGGTCAAGGCCAAACGCTGCTACTTACTAGCTGTGAGACCATAGGCCAGTCCTCCATTTCCTTATCTGTAAAATGGGGATGATAATAATATTCCCCCACCCTCCTGTGGGGTTGCAGTGAGGATTAAATGAGTTAATATGTGAAAAACGTAGGCACTGATAACACCCATGTAAGTATTACAGCTATTGTTGTCCTGCCCAGGGAGGGGGTATGGAAGTGGCTTCAGATCCCTGACGTTTGTTAGGAGTAGCATTCCCTGAGGGCCTTCTGTGTTCTAGGCACTGGGAAAGTGACTTTACCAGCTTGATCTCATTTACTTCCCACCTCGACACCAAGCATCGGTACCACATACACCCATTTTACAAATGAGAAAACCGAGGCTCAGTTAGAATTATTGCTTGACCAAGGTCACGCAGCTAGAGGGTAGGGGCACTGGGATGTCCAGCTCTTCTTGAGAAGGGGGTAGGTTGAGTTGGCTGGCGTGTGATGGGTCTCAGTTTTCAGGGCCCTGGAGGCCCCAGCCCATCCCTCTCACCCGCCATCTCAGCGCCTTCCGGTCTCGCCTCTGGCGCAGCAGCCACTGGGTCCGTAGGAAGGCGATCTCCGTCCTCTCCCACTCATTGCCGAAGCCCACCCGCTTCTGCCCTCTCTCCTCCAGCTGCACGGTGCTGGTCTGGCGCCTCAGCTGGGCCTCCCTGCGGTGACGGAGGCCATCAGGGGTGGAGACCCTGGGGGTGGTGACGTGGGGACGCCCTGGCCCTGCCTTCCCCACGCCCAGCACTGCCGGCCACACTTAAAGCTTCTTGAGGACAAGGGCAACTTTTAATCCTCTCTTGCCTCCAGAATGCCCTGCGTGGGTCCGGCTTTTAGAAGGTGCGTAATGAATATGATTGATCCAGGTCACGAGGCTCTTTCACAAGCCATCGTTCCTCTCGTTTTCACTGCAAGCAGGTGGACAGGTCTTAGTCTCCCCGTTCTACAGGGTAGGGACCTGAGGCTGGGTAACCTGCTCCAGGCCAGCCAGGACCAGGACCCAGGCCTCCTGATGCTCTCAGGCTCAGAGGCCTTCCCATCTCGGGCCTCGTGTCCAAAACGTGGGCTGCTTTCCTTGTTCCTCCTCTCCCCATCCCCGCCTCCTTCCCCGCCACGGAAGCCGGGTGGTGAAGTACAGACCCCCAACAGCCTCTCCCCTGGGGACGCTCCCTCACTACTGCCTGAGGGCTCATCCAGAGGGTGGTGCAGAGGACCTTGTGGTCAGTCAGCCCCGGGCTTAAACCTCTGACTAGCCGCTTACTCTAGATGTGTAACTTCGGGCAGGTTCTTTAAGCTGAGTGTGGGAGCCCAGTGGGGAGGCAGAGGACTGGACAGGACGACCTCTTCCCGGCCCAGGGCTCTCTGGCAAGGTCACCTGACTTACCACGACGTCTCTGAGGAGGCCGTCAGAGCCAGGGCTGCTGCGAGGGCGTAGTCTGCCGCGCTGAACTGATACTCTTCCTCGCTGCCCCCGGGAAAAGAGAGGTCATGGCTCCTGCAGGTTTGGCTGGGGGTCTGGCTGGGGGATCCATCCTCCTACCTCGGGGTACTAGCAGGCACCCTCGTTCCTCACACCGGGCTCTCAGAAAGCAGGGCTGTGCCTGTCTCCTCAAACTCAAGTACACAGAGGTCAGGGCTACGCCTCCCCCCGCAGACCGGGGCCTCCAGAGAGCAGAGCTGCGCCTCCCCGGCGGGCCAAGGGCCCTGGGGGAAGCGCAGGGGCTGGGCTGGGTCCCCGAGGCTCCCACCTGCTGCGGAAGGTGCGTTTCCGCGTGGAGGAGCCCATCCGCAGGCTGTGCTGCTGCTCAGATTTCTGCTCTTCCTCGTGGCGGTGCTCCAGCCTGTGCATCGCCACGGCCTGGGGTGCCCGGGGCTCCCCCGTACCTCCCGGGCTCTGAGGCAGAGTCATGGCTGCAAGAGCGACGACCTGCCGAGCCAAGGTACACGGTCACTCCACCAGGCGTCCACCCGCCCCTTCCCCGTGGGGTCCGCCAGCATCTCTGGAGGTTTGCCGGTAGGGGTTCTCTCTCCCGTGGGCAGACAGGGGAGCTCAGGCCCGATGTGGGGGGACCCGCCCAGGTGACAGAGGCAGGCTTTGCACTCTCAGCCTGGCTTGTCCACCACTCCATGTGCTGCCCCAGTGGCTCCCGGCTTCCAGCGGCACCTGCCCCCATCCCCCACCCCCCGCCACATGACCTGGGCAAGGCCCTCCCTTCTCCGGCTCTCAGCTTCCCAGACAGTGAGGGATTGAGCACTCTGATGTCCAGGCCGTGGAGAGGCAGGCGAGGAGAGTGGGGGACCCCCAGCTAGCTAGCTCTGGGTTCTTTGCACTAAATTCCTTCCCAGAACTGGGGTGCGGTGTCACCACCAGGCCTCTGAGGGCCCTCTGGCGTTGAAGCTCTAGGATGCCTGGTGGACGCCCTGGAGTGGCTTCCAGTCCTTCTCCAGGTGGGAATTTGGGGCCAGGCCTCTGACCTGGGAGGCCCTGAGGTAGACCCTGGCCGTGAAGGCGGAGGAAGAAGGGGGGCCCACCCCCTCAGCCCTCTCCTGTCTGCTTCCACGAGGTCCGGCTCTGCCCTGTCCGTGCCTCTCCCTCGGGGCCTGCTGGCTATGGCGGAGTGTGCGTGCGGGACTGTGTTCTGACCTGGGTGTGAACTTGCCCGTGGGGGACCATTTCTCTAAGTCCATGATGTGGTAGGTGGGCCCGCTGACCTCATCAGAGATCCTTGGCCTAAAAGGGCCTGTTCTGAGGTGTCAGGGGGCTCAGGCTGCCAAGGGTCAATTTTATTGGGATTTGATCCTTCCGGTTCCTAAAAGTTTGCTCACTTTGGGCATCCACAAAGGACACCCAAGGCAGACTGGGTTGCTGCGGAGTGTTCGCCGAGACCAAGGGCTGCCCGTGAGGCTTCTGGCCTCCTACAGCGACCTCAGCTGAACACAACGGCACAGGCACCCCTTGGGCTTCCCATCCGCTTCCTCCTGAGAAGGAGGGTCTGCCTGCACCCAGAGAATGACTGGCCTGCCCTTTCTGTCCCTTCCTCCTCACAGCCAAGGAGAGAGCCGCTGGGTACCACCCTGCGGAGGCAGGCCCCCGGCTTTCCTGGGACACATGGCCCCGGCCCCAGCAGCTGAGGGTTAACGTTCCCTGGCATCGGCTGCTGGCTCCCTTCCCCGGATGCTCTGTTCCTGATTGGCGCAGCAGGGCAGGCCTGGCGCTCATCCCTGAACTCCAGGGCCGCCTGCAACCAGACCCCTGGCTTTAGTGGATGAGCCATCGATTCTTTTTAAAGCGATGACTGAGGCTAAGGATTAGGCAGCAAGGAGGAGATCGCAGCTTCCCAGTCCTGCCCCCAGAGTGCCGTGTGCCTGCTGCGGAGGGGTCAGCAGGGTGTGGTCGGCCAGAAAGGGAAATCGTCCCCCATGCCCGCCCCGGAGGGTGCAAAGCCGCGGGCCAGGGGTCCTGCTGTGTGACTTTCCCCACCCACTCCACTTTCCTCCCAAGCCTCGGTCTGTCTGCTGCCCACCAGCCCTGCCCCGCCCGGTCCCCTGACAGCATCCCTCAGTGAGAGGGGGCAAGGAGGCCTCTCCTATTCCTCAGGAGTGGAAGAGACGCGCACCAAGCCACAGTGACTCAGAGCCCTGATGGCAGAAAGCTGGGTCCTGTGGGCGGGAGCGGAGACACAGCCTGCCCAGCCTGGGATGTGCTCTTAATGCTCCCACCAGCTTCCGAGGCTGGAGTGCTGGCCTCGGTTTCATACCAGTGAGCCCAGGCTGGATGAATGCCCTCCCCGCCTTGCCGTGCGGGCCCTCCGGGCTTGCGCTCATCCCCTGCCTGCCGGGCCGGCCAAGCAGGGCTCCGCCAGGACTGCTCTAGGTTTGCTGGACCTGCCGGTCCACCTCGGTCCCTGCTGATGCCTGCTTCCTACAGGAAAGCCTCCACTTCTCAGGGCATCCCCAAGTGATGTGTGTGCGCGTGTGTGTGTGTTTTGTAGCTTTCACATCACAGAAGGCTCAGCTCAGAAGACCCAGGGCCACACAGAACAGTGTGATGGGGCAGAGATTTTTTCTAGAATCCCCTCTCATTTCCACTTGGGATGATACCCAAGCACATGTATACTTTTGCTTTCCAAATCTCCCAGGATCCTTTCCCAACACACACACACACACACACACACACACGCACACGCACACACACACACACACACACACACTCCACTTGCCAAAGGAAAGCTGAGGGTCTCATTATCTGGAGGTCTCCCTCCCCACCCCTGATCCCTGGAGGTGACTCACAGAAGCAGCCGTGCCCGCTTAGTGTCTCTGGGGAGAAGATTCCAGAGGATGAGAGGGTCCTTGATTTCTTCTTGCCCTGGACTCAGCGGGGACCGGGAGAAGAATGTGATCTTGGAGCCTGCACGGGCCTTAAATATAGCAGCGCTGAAGCAGTGTGATGATAATGGATGAGAACTATGGGGGGGGGGGGGTGCCGACAGAGGGAGGGGCCGTTCCCTGGGTCCAGCATTGCCAAGACGGCAGCAACAGGTGGAGCTGTCCCCACCCCCACCCCCACCCAAAGACAGCTCCTCCCCTCGGCTCCATCCCCACTGCAGTGGAAAGGAGCTCATAGCTCAGGCCTGGTTGTATGGAAAACAGATCAGGGGAGGTTTTCTCAGCTGCTGGGAGCTCTGATCTGAATTCCACCTCCCCCCGCCCTGCCCACCACCGTGACAGGTGCTTTGGGGAAGACCCTCAGCTTCTCTCATCTGATTCCCCTTCTGAAAATGGAGATAGTGAGGCTGGGCCCCCAGACTTTGTGAAGACATGGAGGGGATGTGACCTAAAAATGAGTCTTCAGTGCTCATAAGTTATCACTGGCGAAAATGGAAGTGGGTTTCTTCTCATCTCTCTACACAGCCCCCTCCAGCAGCTGCTGACCAGCCCCGCCCGGCCACACTGGGGTATGTGCGAGGGTGTGTGCAGGGGTGTGGCACAGGCAGGACAGGAGGGGAAGCCTTTTCCTCCTTCACTGTCCAAAGTTCTCAGGCGTCCCGAGTGGCCACTGTGGGAACTTTCTTCCCCACCTTTGCTCGCCCTGCTCCCATCTCAATTTTTTCCCCTCATGTTCATTCATACCTAGGCCTGGTGGGCACTGAGGATGCAGAAGGGAAAAGATAAGATGCCTGACGTTAGGAAATAAGCCCTAATCTAGACGCGGACACAGGCAGTTACAACAGGACGTGATGACGAAGATACACCTGAGCCAGGTCTCGGGGGATGAGCAGGTTTGGGGGAGGCTGCGCCCCAGTGCAGAGACACAGCTTCCCTCCTGGCCTCCTCCTGGGACCTCGGGGGGGCCCAGCAGCACTGTGCCTGTCATTCTTCCTAGTGCCTTGGGGACCCCTCAGGAGAGGGTGTTGGGGAGAGAATACACAAGTGAGCTCTTCAGACAGAATCTCAGTCTCCTAAAAGGGAACCCTCACGCACTACTGGTAAGAATGCAAATTGGTGCAGCCACTATGGAAAACTGTATGGAGGTTCCTTGAAAAATTCGATAGAACTACCATATGATCTAGCAATTCCACTCCTGGGAATATATTTAAAAAATGAAAACATTAATTCGAAAAGATACATGCACCCCAGTGTTCATGGCAGCATTATTTACAATTGCCAAGATATGGGAGCAACCTAAGTGTCCATCAACAGATGACAGGATAAAGAAGATGTGGTGTATGTATACAATGGAATACTACTGAGCCATAACAAAGAATGAAATGTTGCCATTTGCAGCAACACGGATGGACTTGGAGGGCATTATGCTAAGTGAAATAAGTCAGACAGAGAAAGACAAATAATGTATGATATCACTTATATGTGGAATCTAAAAAATAAAACGAACTAGTGAATATAACAAAAAAGAAACAGACTCACACATATAGAGAACAAACTAGTGGTTACCAGTGGGGAGAGAGAAGGGGGGAGGGGGAAGATAAAGGTAGGGGATTAAGAGGTAAAAAATACTGTGTATAAAATAAATAAGCTACAAAGATATATTCCCTGTATAACACAGGGAATATGCAATATTTTATAATAACTATAAATGGACTATAACCTCTAAAGTTGTGAATCACTATATTGTACACCTGAAACTTATGTAATATTGTACATCAAATATACTTCAATAAAAAATATTAAAATAGGGCCTCCCTGGTGGCGCAGTGGTTGAGAGTCCGCCTGCCGTTGCAGGGGACACGGGTTCGTGCCCTGGTCCGGGAAGATCCCACATGCCGCGGAGCGGCTAGGCCCTTGAGCCATGGCCGCTGAGCCTGCGCGTCTGGAGCCTGTGCTCCGCAACGGGAGAGGCCACAACAGTGAGAGGCCCGTGTACCGCAAAAAATAAAAAATAATAATAATAATAATTAAAAAAAAAATTCTCAGTCTCCTGCCCTATTTGAAACCCCCTTCCTACGCATCTCCCTTCCTTCCTGGATGCAGCATTAAGAGCATCTTTGGGTGGAGACCATTTGATGGCTCTCTCCCATTTTTTTTTTTAATTTATAAATTTATTTATTTTTGGCTGCATTGGGTCTTCGTTGTTGCACGCGGGCTTTTCTCTAGTTGCGGCGAGTGGGGTGCTACTCTTCGTTGTGGTACGCAGGCTTCTCACTGCAGTGGTTTCTCTTGTTGCGGAGCACGGGCTCTAGGCACGCGGGCTGCAGTAGTTGTGGCACACGGGCTCAGTAGTTGTGGCTCACGGACTCTAGAGCGCAGGCTCAGTAGTTGTGGCGCACGGGCTTAGTTGTTCCGTGGCATGTGGGATCTTCCTGGACCAGGGCTTGAACCCGTGTCCCCTGCATTGGCAGGCGGATTCGTAACCACTGCGCCACCAGGGAAGCCCTCTCTCCCATTTTATACTGACCCAACATAGGAAGGGATTTCCAAGACCCACATTTATACATTCATCGTGAGGAGTGAGTGTGAATCTGTTTTACAGCCAAGAGGTGTGGGCTTCCAACCCAGCACGAGACAGACATTTAAACTGCTTCTATAACCCCTTCCCCCCAAAGCAGCCTGATGGAGGTGCCCCCGCCTACTAGCTCTATGACCTTGGGCAAGTCACTTAGCCATTTTGGTTTTATCACCTGTGCAGTGGGCTCAATGATGCCTGCTTTGCAGTCTGATTGCAAAGATTCAAATAGGGAATGTGGAGCCTGTGGTGCAATGTCTGGCACCCAGCAACATTTGCTAAGTGAGAGCTCCACCAATAACTGCACGACTCTAGGCGTGCTGAGAGCTTTCTCTGCCCCTCCTTCTGGGTGTGGGATTCCCATGTACTCCATGTACCCTAACCCAATGATGGCCTCCCTCCTCCTGATGTGCCTTAATGTGAGCACAGCTAGCCCTCAGGCCATGAGGCTGAGCAGAGGTCAGACTTGGAGGTATAGGAACCTTGGTTTAAATCCCAACCTCAGGACTTCCCTGGTGGTCCAGTGGTTAAGAATCTGCGCACCCAATGCAGGGGGCCTGGGTTCGATCCCTGGTCAGAGAACTAGATCCCGCATGTCACAACCAAGAGCCTGAATGCTGCAACGAAGATCCCACGTGCTGCAATTAAGACCTAGCGTAGCCAGATAAATAAATATTAAAAAAAAAAAAATCCCCACCTCTGGCACCTGTACTAATGGGGGGATCTTGGCCTCCTTTCTGGGCCGTTTCTTTATCTGCAAATTGTATGCAAGCTCTAAGACAACAGGGAACTTGCCTGCCTGTCTTGTTCACTGTATCCCTAGCCCCAGGAACAGTGCCTGGCATACAACTGGGTCCTTGATATATGCTTTTTTCCTTTCTTTCTTTCTTTCTTTTTTTTTGGTCACGCCATGTGGGATCTTAGTGCCCCGACCAGGGATGGAACCCGTGTGTGCCCCCTGCAGTGGAAGTGCGGAGTCCTAACCACTGGGCCGCCAGGGAATTCTCCGTGTATGCTTGTCAAAAATGAACGAATGAATACCTATCTTGCAGAATGTTTATGATATTCAAATGAGGTTAAAATGCGTGAAATGCCTGGTATAGTATTTAACTCATGGCTAGTACTTCTTAAATATTTCATTCTTTCTCCCCTCCTTTTCCCTTTCGTTGCCCTCCCTGGACTTATGAATATTACGGACAATCATTTGAACCCTATTCCACCTGCCAACCACCCTGAACCTCCACACCATTGTCTGACAGCAACCAAACTGTTTTTGGCTGATGGCCCCACCTGGTGGTCAAGTGGAGAACTGTCTGGTCCAATGCGTTCTCCCACTACCTCCTTTCTCCCTGCTTTAGTCTCCCTTCCCTCCCTCTGCTGTTCTCACACTTCAGTTAATTCCAGTTACTGTTCTTCTCACACTAGCAGGTCAAAACGCATATTCCTTATGCCCCTTCCTCCTTAGAGTGGGAAGGGAAGATCAGCTGAGGGCCTGAGGGTGTGGGGATGGGGTCTCAGAGCTGTGTCCCTCTGTCCAGGCTGACACTCAGACTGCGGATGGGCACAGAGGGATCCGGCCTTGCCCTCCAGGACTCTGGAGGAGCCCTCGTCCCCGACAGCCCTATTCTCTGGGTGGAAATTCAGGCAACCCCTGTGTGTTCTTGGGGCTGGGGGGTTGGGAGGCCAGGGATCTGTAGCCATCCCAGGGTGAAATACCACCCCTTGTTGCAGCTCCCCAGCTCCCATACAGGGGAGGAGATGGGGGTGGCTCTAGGGGGATGATTTGAGGCCACAAGATAGGAAAACTATGGTATAAGAGCATGGTTCCCTCCACTTGCCTAAGAGGAATCGTCAAAGGAGTTTACTGAGAATCCGGATTCCCCAGTCGCTATGGATTCAGCAGGTCTGGGCTAGGGCTGAAGAAGCTGAATTTTTAGTAAGCTCCTCAGGGGATTCTCATGGTGAGGCAAGTTTAGGAAACCATCTTGGGCAAGAAGCCCCTCTGCGCCACATTTTCCTCCTCTGTAAAATATCTGTAATTCGGCCTATTAGGGCAGGTGAATGGAAGAACGAGGCAGCGAGGACAGGAACCTCCCAGCAGCGGGGTCGAGTTCCTCCTCCTCTGACTTCTTCTCGTGCAGCCACTGCTGGACTGCTATTCGTTTGCTCCTGGGCTGGGTTCTGCCTGCCTTGGAGGCAGGTGATACCTCACAGACTCACCTTTCTCTGGACTGCGCGGGGCAAGGCTGTGGAGAGTCCTGGTGGTGGAGTCAAAGCCTAGGACACTCAGGAATGCCAGCGTCCCCACCCAGCTCTGGGGCCTTGGACACTCTGTCCCCTAGCTGGTAGCCTGAGCTGCCTGCCTGGGAGGCCAGAGACCTGAGCGGGTGTGCAGCCTGGTGGGGACAGGGCCAGCCTGAGGAGGGTCACAGGACCCAGAGAGTCATGGACTGTAGGAACGACTGTCACCCCAAGGAGCTTAGAGAGCTTTGTGGCTTGTGAGTTGGAAGAGGTGTTTATGACTTTTAGTAAAAAATCCTCTGACACCCTGGCCCTCTCACCTGGTGAGAACAGTCCAACTGTTAAGCTGTTTTCCACGACTAAACAAGGTGAGACAGTCAACCTTTGGCCAAGTTCACCCTGAGTGACAGGAAGCCGGCTTGTTTGTAGTTTGGGGGAAGGGAGCAGTCATTAGGGCCAACGTAGAAGCTGCCGGGAGGAGAAAGGGCTGGGGGTGTTGGAGAGGGCGGTCCCTCCCTCTGCTATGGAGATATTGGGTCTAAACCAGTGACCCTGAAGAGATGTTAAATATTAATTACAAACAGATAAGGACAGTGCTCCCGGGTGCTGTGTCGCAGGGAGGGGAGGGGTGAAGAGGAGGGGGCACGTACTGGGTACAGAGGAGGGAGGCATTGCAGGCTCCGGAAAGGGTCTCACCGGGGCAACTGGACTTTAGTGCTGTTTCTCAGAAATGTTCAGACAGGGCTTTGGGACAGGATGGGGTTGGGGGCGCTTGCCCCTCGGGGACCCCATGGGGGGCCTCCCCTCCTGATGCCCCAGGAGTCTCATCCTACAAGAATCCAGACTGGTGTGGAAAGTTCCTTCTCTTGATGAAGACAAAAATCGCTAGGTTTGAGCTCCAGCTGTGTCACGGCCTCAGTGGGGGCCTGTGCGGGGGAGCCCCTTCTCCTCTCTGGGCCTCAGTTTCCTCGTCCTAGGGGTCACGTGAGATGCAATGATACAAAGGATGTGACGGCGTGCTGAAAGCTCGGACAAGGACCCTGTGCCAGGGCAGGAGGACAGGGCAGCCCTGTGCTGCCTCTGGTGGGGTGTCGGGGAAGAAGGTCCTCTGAGAATGCTGCTGCCACGCCCAAAACGGCTTCCACCTATGAACTCAAGGAGAAGGTTCCATGTGTCCCTGGACCCTGTTTCCTGCAATCCCTTCCCTCGCCCCCTCCTAGACAGTCCAGCTCCTTCAGCTTGGCCTGGAGCAATCCTGAGGAAATCAGGATAATTTAAGCCCATGAGAAAATGCCTGATTCAAAATCAAGCTGAATTGGGGGAGTGGGTCACTCCTGTACTGTCCTATCTTTTAAAAATCACAACAAGAAATACTACGGTGTATTGGGCACTGCCCATGAGCCAGGCGCTATGAAACACTTTGCCGGCATTATTTAATTTCATCCTCACCACAACCCTGTGAGGTCAGTGTTATTATCCCCATGACACAGATGAGGAAACTGAGATTTTGCGTGATTCATTTGCTTGAAGTCACATGGCTTTTAAGTACAAAGTCCGGAATTTGAACCCAGGTGGGCTGAATCCAAGGCTGAGTTTCCAAAGTTGTGAAGTAGGTACAGTTTGTAGTTGTGTCTCCTTCAGTTGCCCCATGGCCCCATGTTCCTTTCAAACCCCGCTGCCAGGATAGGGTCTGAAACTCCTGCCAACAGAAGAGGCTTCTGTGTTCTCCCTCCCTGGTGGACCTGCATTTCACTTGGGATAAAGCCTCTAGCAGAGGAATGAAACTGAAATGGTGCAATTCCAGGCAGCAGCCTCGGTTGGGGATGAGCCGCAGGCCGCACCCCTCCCTGGAATCTTGCCATCAGGCTGCCTCTGGACTTGGCAGAAGTGCAGGTTGTTCTGGTTCTGCCCAGTCTGCTATGAGGTGTCCTTTTTCAGGCTCCTTTTCTCACCTTTGGGGAACCACAGAGGAGGCAGAGGCCTCACGCTGCTGAACTAGATTATGAAAGTGGCCGGGAATGAAGAGAGGTAGGCTCATGGAGAACTTTGCGTCCAGCGTATTAGGATCATGGGCCCTGGATCTCCGGGAGGTTCCCCATGTTAGCTCCTGCACTCTGACTGCCCGTCCTGTCCTGCAGAACTTGGCGAGCACATGCTCATTTGCACTCGCTCGTTTGTATATGAGGCACTTCTGTAACTTCTCTGGCTGGAGCCCTTCTCATGCCTTTTTCTCCAAAGGGAGCTCAGCCACGGCAGGGGTCCGGCACCCTCCTTCTGCTGGTTCCTCAAGGGCATTCACCCGGGGCTGGGCTGCAGAGTGCGCAGCGCCGCTGGGTGCGGGAGTGACGGCCAAGGATGCGAGGTGAGGGTGGGGGCAGGAAGAAGCCCCAGGCCCACCCTGTTCCCGCTCAGGTCTCCCACTGCACCGTCAGGGCCAGGCCTCTGAACAGAGAGTCCAGCTCCATGGGCGACTCCAGGTCTGGGGCCCGAGGGCCTGGGCTCTGGGCCTCAGTATCGGTTGTTGGACCCTCATCACTGGGACACACGAGGGACTCCAGCAAGCCCCAGGGACTCGGACCCTTGTCTGTGGGGGAACATGGGCGGGAAGCAGTCTGCAAAGGGAGGGACACGGGGTGACCCTCGATCTGGACAGAGGAGAGGAGGGGCAGCTGGCCCTTTACATAGCTTCGTGTCCTTGGCTCTCCTCTGCGTACGACATCAGAGTCAGGTTCTCTGTCCGTGTGAACCCCCAGATGCTGGTGGAAGGATTTTACTTCTTGGGGGTCCTCCATAGTTAAGGAGGTCACCTGCTGCAGAGAAAGGCCACCTGGGCTGCAGCTTCCAGCTGGTGCCTCTTTCTGGAGCTGACCTTTGGTTCCGAGGTGTTTGGGACCAGAGAGTGTCATAGGTGGGGGGTCTCTACCAGAGCCTTCCCCGCATATCCCGTAGGAAGGAGGCCAGCTGTCCGGAGTGGCCTGAGGGGTGTAGGAAGGAGGCTGGGCCTCCGAGATGGCCTGGGGAGTGTAGGAGGGGGGTTTAGTTTGGGGGGTTACCTGAGGTGCATAGGACAGGGGCCCGCCCTCAGGGGCAGCCTGGGGGGCATAGGGCAGTGGGGGGAGTGTCTGGAGAGGTGGCCCGCCAGAGGGCCGGAGGATGGAGAGGTCCGGCTGCCCAAGGTAGGCGACCTCAGACAGGCTGTGTCGCGGTGGGGCTCCTGGAGGTTCGATGGGCCCGGAGACCTTGACTTGGGAATACTGGACAGGCTGCGCCAGGCCGCTCGGGCCACTGAGGTCAAAGACGGGGCTTAAGATGTGCTCCTGGATGAACTGCAGAGGCTGGAAGGTCAGTACGTGCTGGACATCCTGTGCAGGGAGAACAGTGTGCCCATTAGGGTGTGTTCAAGCTCCCCGAGGGTGCCGTGCGTGCCGCGGTCCTCCGCAGGGCTGGGAGTGGAGGGGAAGGGGTAGACCACCGGGGGGCTTTTCCACGATGTGTGAGCCCTGTATCCCTTCCCAGGGATTCCTCTAAGTGCTGGAGCCTCTGTGAAGGGACAGGGCTCCCGGCCTGTTAGCTGAGGGCTGCTTCCAGAGTCTGGTTGTCTAGGGAGAGCGGGTAGGCTGTGGTTTCTCTAGGAGGCGGGCACTCTGGAAGCAGCTGGCTCGGGTTTGGGGTGCCCTTGGGGAATGCTCTCCAGGTGCTGGCTCAACTGCTCCTGAGCTCTGGGTCCCTAAGGGCCTCACGCGGGGAGAAAGGTGGGGAAGAATGGGGGACAGGGGAGGCCCGGAGAGTTCTACAGGAAATGGCTCATCTGGTCTTTGACTTGGAGGGGCGGATGCGCGTGAGCCGTCTCTGCGAGCCCCAGACTGTGCAGGCTCTGCAGCGGGCATGCTGCTTTAACGCAGATGCAGCTCTGGTGGCCAGACTTGGGCTGCCGATGTGACGTGTATGGTTTGCAGGGGTTTAGTTTAAAAAAATTAGTTGCCAAGATTTGAAACATGGGAGATTTCACATGACAATCTGAAATTCTGACTTCGCTGGAGAAAATGTGAAGATGTGGCAACAGTGGGCCTGCGATCCCAGGTGGCAGTACCTGGGCTGCTGGTTCAGACAGGGTGTGCGCCCCCTTGAAGCCACGTGGGTTTTCTATTCCATGCCTTGTCTTCCTTCTCCCTAGATCTCTTCCGCACACCGGGGGAGTTGCCAGCCACATCTTTAGGTTGGAGGGAGAAATGAGGGAGAGCCGGGGTCCCGGGGCCCGTGCCCTCCCCTCGGCCTCTCCATCCTCCCCGGGGCCCCTGCTCACCAGGGAGTTGGGAGGCGGAGGCGGCTTGGTGATGTATCTGTAGCTCAGGTAGCAGAGCCCTGCGACCAGGAAGCCCATGGAGAACAGGAAGGCGCCGGAAAAGGAGTAGGTCCACGTCTGATCTAGGTGAGTAAGAGGTCAGAACAGGAAGGGTGAGGCTGCCATTGTGGGTACTGCCAACTTGGGCCTTTTCCTCCCCTGCCTCTCGGGCCAGGCTTGGGAAGGCCTCTCCTATCCCCAGTACTTACAGGGCCCGGGGCGAGGGCGCAAATGGAGGGCCACACACCATACGTCTAAATATTCGGAATTTCATCATGTTTTTACATTGTTAAATAAAATACGTTCTGTGCTCCCACCTTGACAGATATACTTTTCATAACAACCCGGAAGGCTTGACTTTTGATTCTTGGATGCCTCGGGGTGCTGTGCGGAAAGGTGGAGGTGCAGGGGGAAGCTCCCGCAGGCCCAGCCTGGCTCCCGCCCACACTGCCAGGGGCCTCACGCCCAAGGATATGGGCTCATGGCCAAGCTCATCCACGCCGCCTACAAATACCCACCCGCTGGCCACCCTTTGGGCCGAGGGCCTAAACATCAACAGAGTGTCTGCCCTCTGGAAAAAAGACCCAAGGAGGAGATCTGCCGAGACTGGACACAGGCTCTGGCCATCTGTATAGGGAATTTCGGAGCTCACAGGTTCCATGGGGATATGCCCATGTGGACCTAAGGACCCTTCATCTTGCAGGGAGGGCCATGGCCAGAGCAGGGCTGGAGCGGGGCCCTGTAAAGTGCGGGGCTCAGAAAAGGGTCCATCTTGCCTGGGTCTAAGGACAGTGCTGCCTTCCTGGTGGGGGCAGGGGAAAGAGGCAAAGGGAGGGGAGATGTGACAATGGGAGGGGTCTGTCCTCCCCACCTGTCTACCAAGATCTGAGCTGGGAAGACCTCACTCAGGAGGGAGCCTGGGGAGGCACCACCTTTTTGAAAACGGAAGGAGAGGATGGCTAAGGGCTCTATGCTGAGCCTCTTCCCTATGGCCCTGCATCTTTGGGATGGGTGTGTGCAGCCAGGTCTTGGCATGACACACTTCCTGTCACCAATTCAAGTGGGACTGGTGAGTGGCTTGGTAAGGAAGAGGTAGCTGGAGTTTTTGTTAAAACTGGAGGTTTGTATTACCTGGGGGTCTTGACTCTCCAAGTCACCCTCCTTCTGTTCCTGGCTCCTGTGTGGCTTCAGCATGGGGAGTTGATCATCAGTTGCCAGTGACCTTGGCAATGACTGTGAACCCTGGGAATTGCTGGAGCCTTTACTTCTAGCCCACTCCTCGCTCCTCCCCCAGCCCCTGTGGCTTGGGCCTCTCTCGTCAGCTTCCCACTTCAGCTTCCCTCTTCCCCTGTCACATGTACTTCCACCAGGGAGAAGACAGGACCCAAATGTCTCTACATGACATGCCTAATGTAACTGGAAAACTGTTGCTCCCTGTACCAGGACAGGACAGGGACTTGGAACATTTCTGCCATTTCACTCACAGGGAAGTAGGAAGAAATAATGGAAGCAACACTGGAATGTGGGGCGTTAGAGGTCTGGCCCAGCCACTGATGAGACCCTCATCTTCTGCACGATCCTCTCTGGCCTCCATTTATTAATAACAGTAGCCAGCGATGATTGAACTCTTTCTACATGCCATGCACTGTGTGGGGTGCTCTACCGATGTTATCCCACCAAACAGATGGCCATGGGTGCTCACTCCTTACAGATAATGAAGCTGAGTCTCAGAGAGGTTAAATGACTTGAACAAGGTCACACAGCTACTCAGTGGAGAAGCCAGGATTGACATGTATAATTCCAAAGCTCATTCTCACAGCCACTACACAATGATGACTCCGTTTCCTCTCTGTAAAATTAAGATATGGGGTGGGCCAACACATAGAGCCCTTTCCAGCATCAAGATGCTGGGATGGGGCTTCCTTGGTGGCGCAGTGGTTGGGAGTCCGCCTGCCGATGCAGGGGACATGGGTTCGTGCCCCGGTCCGGGAAGACCCCACATGCCGCAGAGCGGCTGGGTCCGTGAGCCATGGCCGCTGAGCCTGCGCGTCCGGAGCCTGTGCTCCACGATGGGAGAGGCCGCAGCAGGGAGAGGCCCGCGCGCCCAAAAAAAAAAAAAAAAAAAAAAAGATGCTGGGATGATGGTCCAACACATTCTGAGAGGTAGATAAAGGAGGGCTTCTGGGCTCTGGGGATAAGACAGACCCCTGGATACACGGTCAAGGGCAGGACGTTTCATTATGATACGGAAGTAAGAGGAATGAATGTGCAGTAGAGGGCATAGGCTCTAAACAAAATTGCAAAGTGGTGATTAGAGCCCAGGCTTCAGGATCAGATGAACTTAACTAGGTTCACTGACCAGCTGTGTGGTCACCGGCAAGTTGCTTAACCTGTCTGAGCCAGAGCTCCTCCTCTGTAAAAGGGGGATAATGCTATACAACTTGCGGGATTGTTATAAGGGTTCAATGGGATAATATATGGAAAGAATTTAACACAGTGTTTGGCAATAGAGTAGGTACTTAATAAATGGTAGGAATTGTTATTAATATACTTGATTATAAAGGATAAGGTGCTTTCTATATGTCACCAAGAAATAGCCACCATGAAGTATGATTCATTTAAAAGCAGCTACAGTCTTAGAGAAAAATGATATATCATGAGCTAGATCACGTAAGGACAAACCAACAGAAGGATATGGGTGGAGTGGCCCACATGTTGTCAATAAGCAGGAGGGCAGGGGCGGATCAGGAATGAATGACAGTTATCTAGAAGGTCCAGGGGAGAGTCACAAATCACATACACGCTCCCAACTCAGTGCCTGTGAAGTTGGTTTCCTTTTTCTAGTTCTCTTATTGCCAAGTTCTATTCTGGTCTTCATGTGGCCCTTTCCCTGGGAAGGGCATGCCCCGTGCAAGAGGTCAGTGCTGGCTGTTCTTCCGCCAGGCATATCTTCCCATGAAAACAAATGCACTGGGACTCAGGTGGAGAACTCAGTCTCTTGTGGGCTTTTGGGGAAACTGATGAGCTGAGTTTCTGATCAAAGCTGAGAACCAGAACCTACCCTATGATGTTTCTACCAAGCTGCAGTTATACCCTCGGGCCCAGCCTCTAGCAGCTGCCTCGCTTCTATTCATCAGAACAGAAATCACCTACTGACATCATTAATCTAAACAAGATGACTAAGGGGGAGACTGTTTTCCAAATCCATCCAGTCCAATGCGATCGCTTTTTTCATCCTCTAAACTTGGAGCATTACATTTCTATCTCTATGAAAATAAGCACTAATGAAAACATCATGATGCTTACGACGAGAGTCGAGTTTCAATATGCTAGAGTCGAGTGGGATGGGACACCATCCCGCTGAGCCAATGACTCAAAACTCTTTCTATGGCAGTGCAGTGGTGAGAACGTGTTCTCTGGAATTAGGCCTAGTTCCATTCCTCACCAGCTGTGCAATCTTGGGCAAGTTACTTAACCTCTCTGAACCTCAGTTTCCTCAATGGAACAAAGATGCTTCACAGAAGCACGAGAACTGTGTTTCGTAGTGTCTGGTCCCTGGTTGGCACTGCAGAAATGCTATTATAATCATTGTTATTTTTATTTGACTTTAGAAGGTACTGAGGGATCTTTGTTATCTTCTCTGCTCTCCCATCTGCAGATTATTTCCTGGGATCTCTCACTTGAGTTAACATCAAGGTGAATTTGCTTTGCCAGGATACACACGCAGCTTGCCAGAGACAGGAAATTCAGACATAGGCTGGAGGGTGTAGATTAAACATTTGCTACGACAACCCAACAGCTAACTCGTTTACGAATAAACAAAGATTGACTTTAATAATACACTAGTAATCCTTCTGTGGTTTTCTAGAGCACTGTCAAGCCTCACCTTGGTTACAGGGGGGAAAGCACAGAGTCAAGGTTTGAATTCAGGAGTCCCAGTTCCCTCTGGCTTCAGCTGAACTTACCTGGCAGCGTCTTCGCTCGGTACATGTAGGGGATGCTCTTCTTGGACCAGGTTGGAACTAAACTCACGATGGTCCCAAGGAACTCCGTGTCAGGGGTCAGGCCAAAGAACTCAAATTCTCTCTGCTTGCCTCCAAGGTGCTGAATTTGACAGAGAACACAGAACAACATCTCTTACACACCAACCTCTATGTGGAACCTGCTTACACCTCTGCTTGGGTTACTGCACTTAGTAAAATGGCACCACCAGCTGCCCAAACCATAAACCGGTAGGTCAGTCTGCAGTGCTCCATTTCCATTCCCCTACCTTCTGCTTTCTCCCTAAATCCAATCAGATGCAAGCTTCGCGCACTTTCCCTTGGACAGTGTCTGGCACACAGCATGCGCTCTCTAAATACTAGCTGCGGTTATTATCACCACCATCATCAACACCCCACCATTCTTCCTTCTTCCAGTTCTCCTCTTTCCCCCCCTTTTTCAAAATAAAATATCAAAAACGCTTTGAATATCCATCCCTCTCTTGTCTCCTCATTGCTTCTGCCTTAACCGGGCCTCAATATCTTTGGCCTGGACTCTTGCAGTGGCCTCCTTACTGGTCACCAGTCTCTGGTTTTGTCCCTGTCTACTTCCAAATTTATCCTGGCGCCACAGTGATCTTTCTAAACAATTAACATAACTACAAAGCTCCTCTGTTGAAAATCCTTTGATGGCCCGGGTCATATTACAGGTCCTTGCTCCCTTTGTACACTCTTCCCTCCCTAGAGCCCGCTTGGTCCTTTAGGCTCTGGTGATGTTGAATGCCCTTCGCTCCTGCAAACACTCTGCTTCTGAAGTAAGCCCTTGCTCCTTTGCATCTGCCCATCCTTCCGCTAGAGCTTCTTCTCAGTTCTTGCCCTCTTGTATGTCTCGAACCTCTCTGGCCTTGAACTCTTCCCTCGGCTGCCTCATTCCATCATTCTGGTTCTCCTCCTACCTCTCCAGTTGTTCTTTTACTGGTTTCAGCCCCTCGGTGTTGTTCTGCAAATTTCACTCTTCACCCGTTCGTTCTTCTCTTTCCACATATTTTCTCACTTAGTGATCTTTTCTGGACCCGTGGCTCTGGTGATCACCAACGTGCGGATAACCCCCAAACTGACCTCAGTAAGAGCTATGGAGTTCCTGGCACACACCGCCAGCGTCCTGCTGGACAGCAGTCCGTGGGCATCTCTAACTTCACATGTCCAAACATCCTGATCTCCTCTCTCTGGGTCCTGCCCCATCTCCAACCCCAAACCCGCACCTGTGTTTGATTCCCTAATTCTGTCATAATGTCTCTCTTGTTCTAATGTCCAAGGCTCAAACCTTAAAACCATTCTTGACAAACCTCTCTCAAATCCTTTGTATCTGATTACCCTGAAATAATCCATAAACTTTTCTTTAAAGGGCCAGGAGCTATGTTCTTGGGAGCTTAAAAGCTAAGAATTTTCTTTTTGGTCCTTTGCGTTTCAGCTATGCCTTCTCTTTTCCGGGCACGTGGCGGCCAAGGTTTAGGGTTATTTGTTGTTTTTTCTTTTGAAGGGGGTGAAAGTGGGTGAAGAAGTGCATGAATGGATTTAACAGCTTATTGTTTTGTGGAACTCATATGGTTGAAATTAACCCCAGTAGAGTTGTCAAGGCCCCAAGAGTCCTCCTTCCCCGGGTGTTCACTGCCGCCCGCCTGGTTCAGGCCCTTCTCGTTTCCAGCCTAGTACCATTGCAATAGCTCCCCTGACTTCCCACCCTGATCACTCTTTCATTTTTACATTTGATCTCTCCTCTTCCTGCTCCCAGTAATTTATAGCTTCTATTGGACCAACCTTCCATAAAATAACAGCTATAAACTCTGGCCAAAATAAAAACTACCTATAGGCATTGGAAAGTAAGTAAAAGCAGGCAGATACCAGAGAAAGGAGGAAGGGAATGGCACTGAATGAGTTTCTCTCTCTTTTTTAATGTCCTGTAGCCTGGAGGCAGGCCCCCATTTATACCATGTGGAGTGGGTGACACCTAGATTAAAAACCCTGTAATCTTACTGGTTTGAGTAACCAGAAGACAGAGTTCAGGGCAATCACAAAAGTTGGAAAGTTAGGGAGAAATCACAGATAGGAGAGGTTCATAGAGAGAGAGCCTGAATTCTGTGTATAAACTTTGCCCAAATCCCTGGCTGGTGCCTGAAGTATGCATGAGCAGGGTAGACTCCAAGCAGCCCAGCTAAAGTTTCCACTGAACTTTACTGAACTGAGATTTTGGAGTTTGAAGTTCAGCCAAATTCACTGCCTACTAAGACAAGAAACAAACAAAAATCAATACTCTTTGGAGGAATATGACAGAATCCAGAGTCCTTTCAACGTATCATTCACAATGTCCAGGATGCGTTCCAAAATTTTTAGACATGTAGAGAAAGAGAAAATGTAATCCATATTCAGGAGAAAAGACAGTTAATGGTGACCTATCCCAAGATGACCAAAATGTTTGAATTATCAGACAGTGTTAAAGTGGCTAGTATAACTATGCTCAGGAAGTGAAGGAAAACGTGCTCATAATGACAGAATGACTAGGAATTTTCAGTAGCATAAACTATAAATACTAGAGACTATAAAAACTAGAAACTATAAAAATTAGAGAAGTTAGAACTGAAAATACAATATCTAAAGTAAAAATTCCCACTGAATGGTTTTAACAACAGATTGGAGATGACAGAAGAGTCAGAGAACCTGAAAATAGAATAGAGAGAGTTAAATGGTGGTGACGGTTGGACAACTTCTTCAATATACTAAAAACCACTGAATCCTACACTTTAAAGGGGTGAAGTTTGTGGTATGTGAATTATATCTCAAATTTTAAAAAGGGAAAGACTGTCAGAATGCTGTCTACAAGAGATACACTTTAAATATAAAGGCACAGGTAGGTTGAAAATAGATGGATGTAAAAAGATATACAATGAAAATTATAAATATGAGAAGGCTAGAGTAACTATATTAACAGCAGATAAGGTAGAGTTCAATAGAAAAAAGTATTAGTAGTGATAAAAAGGGACATTTCCTAATGATAAAAGGGTCAATTCACCAGGAGGCGATAACAATCATAAAGGTGTATGTGTCTGATAATAAACCTTCAGATATGCACAGAATTAAAAGGGAAAACAGACAAATCCACAATCAGAGCTGGAGATTGTAATACTCTCGGCAATTAAGAGAATAACAGACCTCCCCCAAATCAGGAAAGACATAGAAGATATGAATAATACTATTAGCCGCCTTTATCTCATGGATATTTATAGAGTACTCCACCAGACACCCGCAAAATACATATTCTTTTCAAGTGCACGTGGAACATTCACCACGATAGCCCATATGCTGGGCCATAAAACAAGTCTCCATAAAGGACTGAAATCATACGGAATATGTTCTCTGATCACAAACTGAATTAAGTGATAAATCAATAACAATAAAATATTCAAATATTTCAAATATTCAAATAATTCAAATATTCAAATATTTGCCAAAAATTAGTTGTGATAAAGACTCTCCCTGCTCTGTAATCTCTAATCGCTCCCCGGCTACTGAAATAAATACAGATTCCCCCATCCGCCCTCCCGACCTCTATGGCACGGTCCCAGCCTGTCTTCTTAGGGTTAGGATTGTTCCTCTCCATCAGTGTTTCTCAAACTTCAGAGTGAGTAAGAAGCACTGGGTTGCTCACTAAAATTCAGATCCCAGGGGTGCAACGCTAGAATTTGATGAAGCGGATTATAAGGGGGCCTAAGAACATGAATTTTATGGGTTTTTTAGTTTGTTTGTTTTTTGGCCGTGAGGCATGTGGGATCTTAGCTCCCCAACCAGGAATCGAACTCGCACCCCCTGCATTGGAAGGCGAAGTCTTAACCACTGGACCGCCAGGGAAGTCCCCAAGAACCTGCATTTTAAACAAAGGCTGCAGGAGATTCTGATGCCATTGGTTTGGGACCATGTTTTGAGAAACTATTCTACATGTCCCTACGCTTCAGCCCAAATGGGCAGTTTTGTGCTTTCCAACAATATCCTAAGCGTTCCTGCTTCTCTCTCTGATCACTGTGGGACAGTGTAGGCCAGTGGAGCAGGGAGGGGAGGAATGTGGGCTTGGAACAAAGCTGGATTTGAATCTTGACTATGCTATTATTTGCTGAACAATCTTGAGGAAGTGACTTAACCTCTCTGAACCTCTGTTTTCTCATTCAGAAAATGGAGATAAGAGCAACTACCTCATAGGTTTTGTGACGAAGATTAAATGACACAATAAGCATATATTACCCGGTACACCTCAGAAATTGATATCAGCACCAGAAAGTTTTCTGTTCTAGAGGTCTTTCCAGATCTCTCTGAGCTGACATCTCCTCTCTCCCCTCCCAGCCTCCATTCTGTCCCACACAACACTCTTATTTCCCTCTACCTATAGCTGAATTTGAATTCTTGTTTTAACTCTCTCCCCACCCATTAGATTATAAGCTCCTTGAGTGCAGGAATAGTCATTCAATGTAATTATGAATTAGTGGCACACACTGCCAGGGGAAACACTACATATTTTATTTTTTGAATACAAAAAGAAATGTATAACATTTGACAATTTATGCCTTTGCCTTCCACCTTTCAGTATTACTGATCTTAAGACACTGTCTGTATCCAGTTCCCACGGAAGGTGGAGAACCAGCGGAAAGAACTGCAGCAGTAGAAATTGATTCCAGCATTTTCCAAGGTGGACACCTGAGGATGTTAATAGAAGTTGTTCCCCTGGATGTTAGAAGGCATTAGGCAAGAAAAAAATACATGTAATGCAAAATAAAAGGAGTTTCTCTGATCAAATACATGCGAGAGAAGTTGTATTAAGCGAATTGAAACTGGAGTCTTGACTTTGCAGTACTTGTCAGAGGCTTTAGCGTGCTATTGTGTGTGTGAATCTACAAGAGGTAGGCTGTAGACGTGTTTTGGGAAACGCTGATTTATAGAACACATCTCCTTTCTACTTGAAGCAATGCAGAGAGGAAAATGGGTTTCTGAGGCAGGGAAGGACCAAGGTGGCACATATATTTACCCTTCATTTACCATTTGGTAGGTGTGGTTGATGTGCAGATCTAAGTGATAGAACAGGTCCTGGAAGATATCCTCCAGGGTTAGCCGGTGGCCATTCCCTGTGTGGATGGGCGTGTAGGTGGGATGGACAATCAACTGGATGGATCTCACCTTGGGGATACAAGTCACATCAGGTGGTTTGATGATAGCTGGAAAAAGGGAGAGAGAAAAAAGAAATGAAAAGTTAGAATCAGCCAGGGGTGTCTGAGAGGCTGCCTTGGACCTTGGGAAATGACTGCTGTCCACCCCCTCCCACCCCAACCCCAGCCATGCTTCTGAAAGCATCAGCGAAATGAACAGGTGAGAAGAGAAGCAACTGGTGTTTGGGTGTAAGGCTGGCGAAGGGGTGACCAAGGGTGAGTGGGAAGAGCCCAGGGAGAGGGGCCCTGGACCCCTAGGCTGACCATACCCTTGTCCCAGCCTCCACACATCCCTACCTGAGTCTTCCAGGAGCACCTGCCCCCTAGTCTACTGTCAATGACAGCTTTGGGGACTGATGGTTCAACTACATATCCAAACAACGTTTGCAGTGCCCAATATTACTGATTCAGCCTCAAAGGCCAGGCCTAAACTTCAACCTCTCTCAAGATGGAATTTCCAAATAACCAAACGACCTTGACTGGTTTATAGACCCCTTTGGGAATTTGAATGCTATGGTTCTTTTCTCCCCCAAAGTGTACATATACAAAAATCTTGCACTCAGTTTCAGGGTTCCATGAACCTCACTCCCCCGAAGCTAATTTATAGAAAGTCCCCAAGAGTCCATTGACCTCCAGGATTAAAAAGATCTGAGCTGGAAGAATGTTCGTTTCAGTGTTGTTTATAAAACTGAGTTAAGGGTCCTCCAAAAAGGAATTAGGGAAGTCAATTAGAGTACCTCCATAGAATGGATCATGTTTGCAGCCGTGAACTATCGTGTTGTGGAGAAATATTTAATGACATGGGCAAATGTTCACGATACCATCATATAAAAAACAACTAACCAACCAACCAGATCACAAAAGAGTAGATACAGTTGCTAGTAGCTGCGGTTATGTTTAAGTGTTCAGATTAGTTGGGCCTACTTTTATTTTTCTTTGTGTATTTCTATATTTTCCAAATTTTCTACAATAAGTATGCATTAACTGAACAAGCCAAGAAACAATATAAAATAACTTGTTTAACTTTATTTTTTATTTTCTTAAGAAACCCTGTGGCTTTTAAATCAGTCAGTGAACATCACCTACTTAACATGTGTGAGGAGTTTGGCAACTCATCCATCCATCCACTCAATCCTTCATCAACTGCGTATTGAGCATCTCCTACGTGCCAGGTGCTATGCTAAGGGCTGGGAACACAGGGGGTTCCGCTGCCACACACGCCCTCATGGAGCTCCCTTTCAGTAAGGGAGGCAGATGATGTAAATGCCAGCAAACCCAGTAACTGCAGACTGTGATCTGAGCTCTGAAGCCAGCGAACAGTTCATGGCGACGGAGAATAGCAGACGATGACCTAGCGAAACGGGGTTGTTGAGGCTGGCGGTGGGGATGCTCACGTAGGAGGTGATGTTGAAGCCGAGACCAAGACCAAGGATCGGAAAAGAGTCAAGGCAGGAGTAGGAGGACCGAGTTAGGGGGGCCTTGGTTGCACTCAAGTGGCAAGATTAAGGTGGTCTGAACTAGGGAGGTGGGGATGGAGATGGAGAAAGATGAAAGACCACACTGGGGATGCTGTCCAGTTGAGGGCGCCTTCCCTAAAAAGCCACATCCCTAACTGGCCCTGGGAGGCAGAGCCCTTCTGGGCCCTAAGAGGCCATCCTTTTCCCGTCCCGCACCCGTTGCAATGAGGGGCTGGCACTCACTGTGCTGCAGTGAGCTGAACCGGTCGGTCATCTTAGTGGCGGACTGGCCTCCCGCGTCGATGGCGGTGACCCGGGCGTAGTAGAAATCCGTAAGGTTGCCTGTCTCCATGGTAAGGTTGCAGGATTTCCGGGTGATCCGCTGGCAGCCCTCCTTTGCCTGCCACTCTGTCTCTCCATAACTGTGGGCAAGGGAAGGGCCAGAGCACACCTTTCGTGAACAGGCTTGGAACCAAGCCTGTCGTTTATTAATAATGATAACGATATTGAATATTCACTTAGCACGTGTACCCAGGCCCTTTATGCGGGTGATCCTCACTACGGTGCTGTGAGGTTCATGCATTATTCTCCCTCCTTTTCAAGTAGGGGAGCTGGGGGTTAAGGAAGTAAAATTTGCCCAGGCGTTTGAGGCATGCATGCAGGGAACCAGGATGTGAACCCAGCCAGCCTGAGTTCACCTTCTGCGCACTGTTAGCCCCATCGACAGATGAGGGACCTGGGCCTTGGAGAGGGCAAGTGCCATGCCACAGGATGAAGTGGCAGGACCAGGAATGGAACCCAGGTTTGCAGACTCCTGAGCCCATGTACCCTCCTCTCCTGCCTGGGAGAGGAGATGAGCGGAAACGGGGCGGGGTGGGGGCCCGGGAGGGGGTGGGCACGACTTTTCGTTGACCCAGTCTAACCCAGTATAAAGCAATGATTGGGAGCTTGTTGTTTGCCAGGCACACGTGCTGATGAATGTCTCATGGAACCCACCTAACAACCCTATGAGGAAGGTACTATTGCTAACTTTACTTCATGGATGAGGCAATGGAGGCTTGGTGAGGTTACCCAACTGCCCGGAGTTATAGGGAGAGAGCTGGCGTCTGTCCTCAGAGCCCGTACTTGTAACCATTATCCTAACCTCCCCCCGCAGAAGAAACATAAAGGAGCAAAGCTATGTCTGGGGGAGGGTCGCTGCGTGACACCAGTCCGGGCGGGGGACGTGGGGACATAGGAAGAAGGAAGGGTTTTCTTGGAGGGGTTGGTTCCAGAGCAGAGTCAAAAGGGCTTGTGTTGGAGGGACGCCTACGTCTTATACTGCACACTGTAGACGGTGTCTGGGGCACTCTCCGGCCTGCTGTCCCACGTCAGGATGTTTTCGAAGTTGCTGGACTGGAATTTCACGTGCTGAAGAAGATCTGAGGTGTCCTCAGCGAAGTGAGCTGCAGAAAGTGAGAGAAGGGTGAGCAGAAGGGCACAAAGACTCTGCCCCAGCCCTGTAGCAAGCTGCCCGCCCTGAGGGGCGAGCCAGCACTCACTCAGCGGAGAATGTGCTAACTGACCAGCCCCGCTCCCCTTCACTTCTTTTTTCCTTGGTACTGAGCTATGATTCTCATTCCATGAAATGCACCACTTTAGAGCATACAATTCTGTGGTTTCCTAATATATTCACAAAATTGTGCAACTGTTGCGGCTAATCTAGTCCCAGAATGTGTTCATCGCCCACAAAGAAACCTTGTATCCGTGAGCAGTACTCCCACCCCTCCCCTCCTCCCAGCCTCAGCAGCCAATAATCTGCTTCCTCGGTGGATTTGCCTGTGTGGACATTTCCTGTAAAGAGGCCTCCAGTATGCGGCCTTGTGTGTCTGGCTTCTTTCACTGAACATCATGTTTTCAAGGTTCATCCACATTACAGCATGAATTGGGTACTTATTTCCTTCTCTGGCTGAATCATGTTCCACTGCGTGGATAGACCACATTCTGTTTATCTTCTCATCAGTCGATGGACATTTGGGTTGTTTCCACCTTTTGGCTATTTTGAATAATGCTGCTGTGAACGTTTGTGCACAAGTTTTTAAGTGGACACATGTTTTCAGTCCTCTTGGGTATACAGCTAGGAGTGGGATTTCTGGGTCGTACGGTGATCGTATGCTGAACTTTTTGAAGACCTGCCAAACTGTTTTCCAAAGCGGCAGCTGCACCATCTCCTATTCCCACCAGCAAAGTTTAAGTGGTGCAATGATTCCATAGCCTTGCCAACACATGCTGTTGTGTTCATTCATTTCTCAACACCGTCTGAAGTTAGCGTCCTCACCAATGGAATTTTTTTTTTTTTTTTTTTTTTTTTTGCGATACGCGGGCCTCTCGCTGCTGTGGTCTCTCCCGTTGCGGGGCACAGGCTCCGGACGCACAGGCTCAGCGACCATGGCTCACAGGCCCAGCCGCTCCGCGGCATGTGGGATCTTCCCGGACCGGGGCACGAACCCGTGTCCCCTGCATCGGCAGGCGGACTCTCAACCACTGCGCCACCAGGGAAGCCCATCCAATGGAATATTTTAGAGGTATTCAACTAAATGTTGACTGTCGAAGAAGTAACTTGCCCAGAGTCAGTAATTTCAGACAACGGTGAAGAAGATGTCTGTGAATTCCTGCCTCTCTGCTGCTTGAACCAATCCCTGTCCACCCTCCACATTCCTTCTGAGGAGGGCAAAGGCACCTTCCCCAGCCACACGGATTTCGTAGGAGGTGGATTCTGACTGAGGCTACATATGGGCAGCATGACCTTGGGGAAGCTGTTTAAGCAGCTAGAACTTCAATTTCTTCAGCTCTAAAATGAGAATAATTGGACTTACCTAAAGATAAACAATAATGACCACAGCAGCAGCTGACATGTCTGAAATGCACGTAAAGTGCCGGGCACTGGGCTAAGTCTCCTTAACAAATCCTCCTGACAACCTGATGAGGCAGGTACTATCATTCTGCCCATTTAATGGATGAGAAAAACTGAGGCTCAGAGAGGCGGCCTGCAATGCCCATCACACTGTTAGGCTGCTTGTGGGGTGGATACAGTGGGGCAAGGAAGGGGCAGCAAAGGCCAGCGCCCCAAGAAGAGGAGCCGGGAGGGGGCATTGCCCCCGAAGCAATCTTCACTGTAAACGAGAGCCCTTGATTTACAGATCTGTTCCCTCAGGCCTCCTAGCACGGTCTGTGGAAAGGAAGAGAGCGCACGAAAATGGCGGCCAGAGTCGGCAGCTGGCTCTGCGCGTGCTCAGAGGTTGACTGGGGTGGGAAATAAACAGGTGCAGATCCGGTTGAGTCAAGGCCTTGAGGTCTGAGGGTACACGTGTCTTTGGTATGATGTGTGTGTACCTCCCTTCCCCCACTCCCCCGTGACCGTGTGCACCAGCAGGTCCAGAGTGTGAGGGAGTGGAGGGTTATTCACCCCTCCACCCCAAGTCTACATACAGTATTTCTGTAAGGGAGGCATTTGTGGGGAAGGGAAGTATATTAGGACAGTCCAACCCTGCTGTGCATCCACATGTTAAACCTAAGGCCACATTCCTCTTTCAATCTGGGTTGACCAGGCCCAGCAGCTGCAGAACTCTTTGTGTTCCAGGCTTCCTGGAGCCCCCAGAACGGGGCCTAGGGCACCAGGGAGTTCCTTCTGCCTCTAGCCAACATGATGGATGTGCTGCCGAGACTCAAGTTGTGGCTGGTACCTTGTTTGGACCCGAGTCCGGGCAGAATTGGGGTCTGTTCTGGAGGGAGGGGCATGGGTTCAGGGCTGGGTCTTAAGTTGAGGGAGGGAGTGCACTTGAAGTCCGAGCTCAATGGTGGCTTTGGGCGAGGTGGTGAGGTCAAGGGCAGGCAAGAGAGAGGGTGGGATTTGAGAGAAGGCCAGGGTGTGTCTGGGGGTGGGCTTGGCTAGGGTCTGCAGTGGGAGGGTTGCTGGTTAGGGTCAGTGTCCTGGGGGCGCATGTGGGTTTGCAGGACGTGAGTGGCTGAGGCTGGGACATGCTCGGGTGGTGAAGGGCCCAGGTTGGGTGGAAGTGGGCGCCACGTTTCAGGAGGGAACTCAAGTTGGCTTCCTGAAGTTGTGTGGGTGGACCTTGGCTGGCCCCTCTCTTTGAGGAGGCGTTGAGGGCTAACAAGATCTTCTGTCTCCTCTCGCCCACTCATTCCTTTTCCTCCTCAAATCCGTCACCGGTTCCTCAGCCCACGTCGGTTCTGCACTTCCTGGGTGAAAGTCTACATTGTGAAATCGTGGGGAGATATGTATTGTCTAGAAACTGACAGCCTGGGAGATGTGATCAAAGGAAGTTTTCTCATTTGCTTGAAAAAAACAAGTCTATGTCAACTAGGTGGGAAGCTAAGGACAAACAAACAAACAAAATCAGTTCAAACATGTTCTGGAATCAGCCTAAGAATGCCGGGGGTGAAGGCACCTGGGGCTCTAGAGTGACCTTACTGACTCCTAACAACCTCCTAAGGGCTGCTTCCCCTGTGTCCCCCATCGTAAAGGGCCAAGAGCCTCTAAGTCTTCCAACCGGAATGGGTGAGGGTCTGGAAGGACATGTCTGAGGTCTCTTGGGAGATGTATCAAGTCTCCCTAGGTCACAATGAGTCCAGTGTGCTGTGAATGTTCCGTTTGATGCCAGGGGGAGGACGGACTGGAGAGCCCGGGTGGCAGCTGGAAGCGCTGTGGACCTGGTCAGCACCTGCAGGGCACAGCTGTGGCCCTTTATGGCCTCCATCCTGCACTTAAGGTAGAAGGGGCCTTGCAGAGGCCAGCCCTCTCCGTTCTTCAGTCAGGACTATGCGTTCACTTCCTCAGAAATTTCCCTGAATTTTTTAAACATCTCAGGGAGCAGAGAGACAACTAGGATCTCATGCATTGGTCTGGAAGTTCTCCATAATGATACATCAAAACAATCCACTTTATTGGATTTGAAAACTGTGCCCTTTCGTCCTGTTTTCATAAGAGCTCTGGTCTTTTAAGACCTATTAACGCAGCAGACCTGGGCCCTCTGGGAGAAAATGCTCTTTCAGGTCTGGCGTGAGGGGCTGGAAGAGGTCCCCTCAGGGGCGTGGAAGGAGGCAATGGCTGGACTCAAGCTTTGTCCTTCCTGACGCCCCCTCACCTCCCCATGTGAGGCCAGTGCCAGCCAGAAGCAGAGGAACAGAGGTACAGTTTCTACCAGAAAGATCTGAGGGATCCAGGGATGTCTAACTCCCTTAAGCTAATTCTCCATCCACTGGAGTGGGGGGGGGGTGATCCACACCCCCAGTTCAGACACGTGGCTGTATCCCCAGAGTCTTGAGGGTCAGCTGAGTCTCTGAAGAACCCAGGGTCTGAGGGACCCTCTCACCCTTCCCAGTAACCTGAGCTGGCATCTACTTCTCCAGGGAAACTCGGCACCCAGGTCAGCCCAGCAGAGAAGAAATTGAAACTGGTCGTGCTGGGGCTGGATGCAGTCCTGGGGGAGACGACTCTGATCATTGGCTCCTGGATGGGGGTCAGGTCTGACCACAGGGTGACCGGCACTCACCGACTAGGGATCCCGCCGCCAGGATGACCAGCAGCATCCTCATTGGACCCGGCACACAGCCCTCTTTTGGTCTCCACTCTGGACTGAGCACAGAGGGAGGGCTGGGAAGCTTTGGCGCCCTGGCAGCTGGCTCCACCCAGGCATGAGGGCGGGGGAAGGAGGGGGAGGTGGGACCTGAGCCACGCAGAGCTGGGTACAAAGGTACCTGGCCCATTGCTTCGGAATTCCAGGTTCTGGGCGGGATCCAAGGGAGTTGCCTTCTTAGTTGCAGAAAACAGCAACAGTGACAGACTGGCTTGTTTATCTGGTCTGGTGGCTGATTCATCCCAAGATTCTTCAGTCCTTATTAGAGAACTGAGAGGCAGAAAACGTAAAAATAATCCACGACATACAGCCTTATCAGAGAGCAGCTTGGCACTGGGTATCAGAAGCCTGCAACTTACAAATACCTTTTGCCTCACTGACTCCATCCTCAGGAATTCACCCCGAGGAAAACAACTGGAGCAGATGAAGGAGCAGAAAATATGTTCCGGAATGTTCCTGGTGGCAGAGGAAAAGCTAGACTCCTCGGCTTCGTTCTGGCAGGAGGAGATATAGGGTGTCTGCTGCCCCTGCTTATGCCGCGTATTAAAGCAGGTCCGCCATGCTGGATGCTTGAGGGTCAAGGGGGATGGCACTCCTCCTAGAGAGGCTGCTGAGGGTGAGAAGTCCAGGCACTCCTACACTGAACCTTTGGGGTCTGGGAACTGCAAAACGTTAGGAAAAAATGGAACAGAGATTTCAGTGACTCTTTCTACTGTGCTAGAGATGGGGGCAACATTCAGGAAAGGGCCTTCGGTTTGTGACAATGAAGGCTCAAACTGCTCGCCCAAGCTGTTCTACCATGTGAAGGTGTATCTACAGGGATAACATGAAATCCACTGGGATGGGTGTTTAGGAAATGATTTTCCTCTTTTTGCTGGGCCTCAAGAGAAGACTGAAGGGGCCTGGACTCTGGTTAGGGTAGACATGATCAGAGATCTCTGCCTCTGGGGAGAGTCTGGCCGGCCCCAGCCACACAACAGCAGGCTGAGTCCTATAGCAGGACAGCCAGACCCTAAGGGAGGCTCTAGAGGGCTTGGCTTTAGGGTGTAGTAGGCCGTGATATCCAGGGATCTGTATTTACGTTTTTCTTTTCTGTGTCGTAATTGTTTTCTGTCATCTCTGAGTCTTTGGCAAAGTTAGACAGCACGGCCACATTTGAGCTGTGCTTTGGGGGAATTAAGGTACGATATTGTGCCAGTCCTTTCCTATTAATTGCAGGAAACTACATTTCCCAGGCTCCTTTGTCAATGGTTTCCTGTTAGGTCCAGCCAATGGGAGGCACTGGAGGACAGCCGGGAGCTGGAGGAGGGAAGTCAGGGTATTTCTCCCCTTCTTCCTCAGCTCTGAGTGGCATCCCCTACAATGGCTGTGTCTCCTCGGGAGCTGCAGCTGCCACCACTTCTCCGTCAGGCCTGGGCTCTGATAACAACATCTCTTCCTATTTTCCCCTTTAGCTCAAAGGACAGAGCAGCTTCCTGCTGCGGTGACTTTCTGGGCTGCTTCCCATCCAGGATTGGATTCTCAGCTCTACCATCACCTGGATAACCAGTTCCCCTTTGTGAAAGTCTCTTGGTTTGAAAGACTCAGTGGGTTTCTGTGTTCCTGAATGGACTATGATGGATGGGGGGCCTTTGATGACTTTTGGGACAAAGGGGTGTGGGGAGATCATGGCCAGAGAAAGAGGTTACAAAATGCCAAGAAGGGCCCGTTGGGAGAGGTGCACTCGCTGGAGCAAGCTGGGCTGGCTGGCCGAGAGGACAAGCTGCAAGCCAGCTTGTCTGGGTCTGTGGAACATGAGGTCTTCCTTGGGGACTCTCAGAAGCACCTGGAGGAAGGAACCTATGAAAGAACTAGGCCCCCCATAGTCATGAGGAACTATGATTGTGGGACTATTAATGACAAGGAAGACACCTGGATTATTTTTATTTATTTATTTATTTAGGCTGCATTGGGTCTTTGTAGCTGCGCGCAGGGTTTCTCTAGTTGTGGCGAGTGGGGGCTACTCTTTGTTGCAGTGAGCGGGCTTCTCATTGCGGTGGCTTCTCTTGTTTTGGAGCATGGGCTCTAGGCGCGCGGGCTTCAGTAGTTGTGGCACGCAGGCTCAGTAGTTGTGGCACACGGGCTTAGTTGCTCCGCAGCATGTGGGATCTTCCTGGACCAGGGCTTGAACCTGTGTCCCCTGCATCGGCAGACGGATTCTTAACCACTGCGCCACCAGGGAAGCCCCTGACACCTGGATTATTAAAGAACTTGGGAACATCCAGACATCATTTCTAATAGTAAAAAGAATAAAAGTAGAAGAGAACAGCATCTGTGTCTGACAGTAGGGGTTTGGCTAAATGCATAATGGTAAGTCCATCCAATGCAAGGCGAACGCAGCCTTCAAAATAACCCTGGAGAAAACTGTTTCGTGGCCTGGTAAAGAGTCACCATAGTTTGTTAAATGAAAAGAAGCATGGGGAATTCCCTGGCAGTCCAGCAGTGGTTAGGACCCCGCGCTTTCACCGCTAAGGGAACTGGTCGGGGAACTAAGAAGCATGGAACAAACTATGTACAGTACAGGCTCGTTAAAACACATACACACGTAGAGAAAAAAGTCTGAAGGATATATGTGAAAATATTCATGGAATTATCTCTGGGTGGTAGTAGAATTAAAGGTATTTTTATTTTCCTTCCTTTGCTCATCTGCATTTTCTAAAGTTCTTACAGGAAATGTATTATTTTATACTAAGGAATAGTAAGGTGACTACACAAGACAAGTAGACTGAAGGAGTGCCTTTATCTGGGCTGGACCCGTCTCTGGGGACGCCATTTCTTCTCCCTCAGCCAGAGTCCCTCTTCTTCAAAGCCAGCTGGGATGATTTCTCCTCCTGCAAGATGCTCGTGACAACTCCAGCCCACCACAGATTCACTCAAAATATCCTTCTAGAAGATGTGGTATATATATACAATGGAATATTACTCAGCTATAAAAATGAATGAAATAATGCCATTTGCAGCAACACGGATGGATCTAGACATCATCATACTAAGTGAAGTAAGTCAGACAGACAAAGACAAATATATGATATCACTTATATGTGGAATCTAAAAAAATAATGTTATTTACAAAACAGACTCACAGACTTCGAAAACAAACTTATGGTTACAAAAGGGGAAAGGTTGGGGTAGGGATAGATTAGGAGGTTGGGACTGGCATATACACCCTACTATATATAAAATAGATGATCACCAGGGACCTACTGTATAGCACAGGGAATGCTATTCAATACTCCGTAGTGACCTGTATGGGAGGGGAATCTGAAAAAGAATAGATATATGTATGTGTATAGCTAAATCAGTTTGCTGTACACCTGAAAATAACACAGCATTGTAAATTAACTATATCCCAATATAAAAAATATTTAAAAAATCCTTCTAGAGCTCTGGTCTGCTGTGCACTTGGCATCGTCCAATATTTTTCTTCAGTTATGCTCACATTTATGACTGGAAAGAAGAGACTTGGGTGGGGGCGATGTGAGGCGCCAGCACCATCTGCAAGTATCGGAGGGGCTGCCGCATGGAGAAGGGTCGAGCCCATTTTTGTGTAGCTACCCCTAAACAGGAAAACCAGGGTGGGTAGTAAGAGGACATATTAAGGAGGCAAATTTCTTTTCTTTTTTTCAAAGATTTTTTGATGTGGACCATTTTTAAAGTCTTTATTGAATTTGTTACAATACAGGTTCTGTTTTATGATTTGGTTTTTTGGCTGCAAGGCATGTGGGAACCTAACTCCCTGACCAAGGATCAAACCCGCACCCCCTGCATTGGAAGGTGAAGTCTTAACCACTTGACCGCCAGGGAAGTCCCACAAATTTCTTTTGATTTAAGGAAATAGCTCTCCCTACGAAGGTGTGGCTGCCTTTAGGATAGGCTGCTCTTGGTTGTGGGGGGTATTCAGTGAGAAACTGTGACCAGTGGTAGATGTTCCCTAGATAACCTCATTTATGGTCATAAATGTCTCCTTAGAAGTTTGAGTTGGTGGTAGTTTCTGAGGCCAAATTCCAAGGATGGGGGAAGTAAGGGCATTGCATCCTGCAGTTTAGGCTTTGAGGCTGGATTAGAGCTATTTAGAGGAGGCATGTCCCATGAAAGGGCCTGGAACTCAAAGATGGGATTTGGAGTGGGGGATTCTGAGCCCCTGTTGGAATCTGGCTTCCATGACATCCATTTAGTGTCCAGAGAAGCCAAGGCTTGGAGTGGGGTGGGATGTGTCTAGTAGCACCCAAGAATGGATGGGACTCACCCTGGAGGGATCGGCTCCTGGAGAGGGGCCTCCCACCCCTTGCTGATGGTTTTTCCCACCAGGAGAGTGTACTCTGAGGTATTCTTGCCTTGGGATCCCCACCTTCTTCTCCTAACCCACTTAAAGAGGCAGTAAGGGGAAAAACAGACTGTTGATAATTTATAAATTGCAGTCACACGCCTGCATCCTATATCATCATAAGCCAAGGGGTGGGGTACCCTGGGCTGGAATGGGTCCTGGCGCCAACCAGTATCTCTTGAGTAATTGATTCATGGAACTGACTCACTCATTTAGATAAAGTATAACTTCTAGTGTTTTTTTTAACCCACTCAAACTCCCATCGCTTTAGCCTAATTTTGTGCACACAGGAATGAGTCTCCCACTTCTGCCCCCTCCCTCACCATTTCACTCACTGAACAGCACTGATACCCCCTTGGAGCAGACGCTGGGTTGAGGGAGGACAGTCATCCACATGTGACAGGATCTGGGATCTGGGATAGAATCTAATGCAAGGTCTCTGGCTGCTTTATATGTAAGTCAGCCACAGCCAGCCCCTTACTGACTCCAATTCATATACCAGTTCACTCATTCATTCCTTCGTTCACTTATTTAATATCAAGTTTCCACCCTGTGCCAGATGCTGGCACCGGGAAGAAAACAGTCCCTTCCCTAAAGGAGTTCTCAGGATGTAGCATCCATTACCCCAACGCTGCCCATTCTCAGCGGCTCCGAGCACCGTGCTTGTAAGAACCTGTGCAATTGGCAGCCCTGCCATCCCACCACTGTCCAGAAGGTGGCAGCAAACAGGCAAAGAGGAGCTCAAAAGGTGAGGCGGGCAGGGTGGAGGCCCTTGGGGATCACCTGGAGAGGAAGTTCTGCCCTGGTTTCTGGAAAGGACCTACTGCACACCCATTCAAGGGGGCAGATGCCCCAACCTGACTACAAGCCGCAATATGCATGAAATGTGAATTGGCAAGGATATTTGGTTATGAGTAATAGAAGGCTCTGAAAGTTGGCTTAAAACTAGGATGCAGGGGGCTTCCCTGCTGGCGCAGTGGTTGAGAGTCCACCTGCCGATGCAGGGGACACGGGTTCGTGCCCCGGTCCAGGAAGATCCCACATGCCGCGGAGCGGCTGGGCCCGTGAGCCATGGCCGCTGAGCCTGCGCTTCCGGAGCCTGTGGTCCGCAACGGGAGAGGCCACAACAGTGAGAGGCCCGCGTACCGCCAAAACAAACAAACAAACAAAAAAACCAAAATACAAAAAACTAGGATGCAGGGAAGCCGAGGACAGGGCTGCAGCTGGGCCTCAGGAATGGACTGGATCCAGTCCATTTCTCATCCTGGAGGCTCATGTGGAGGTCCCATTGTCGTCTTTGTACCCTGAGCTTTCCTGTTCTTTGGAGTGGGAAATAGTGTCAGAGCCGGTTGGAACTTAATTGTTCCAGGCCAAGCCAGCCAAGAAGACATCTGAATGCCAGGGAAAGGGACTTGTTGGATTAGCTCATCTTGGGTCTAGAGCCTGCCCTGGCATTAGTAAATGATGACAGTCCGCAAGCACAGTTCTGGGCAGTGTGAAAATGAACAGAAACCTCATTTAAGATGGAGTTGGGAGGACTGAAGGGAGAACTCTCAAGCTCTCGCTGTCAACTGCAGACTCAACAGAAAGAGACATACCTTTGCATCTCCAACAGGAGGAGGGTTACTATTTTACTACCCAGCAGGAGGAGGAATTTCTCTTTGCCTGGCAACAGCCTAGCCAATAAGAGACTGTAGTAACTCAGCCAATGAAATGCAGTACACTTCAAACTCCCAGTTTCCTCCAATAGACTCTGTGTTTATAATGGCCCCTCCCAACTAACCTCTTTTCCCCTATAAAGGAACATTCCTCTCCTTGTTCTCTGGACTTGCATGTGGTTCACCATAGATTGCGTGTCCCAAATTGCAATTCTTTGCTGTTCCTGAATAAACCCGTTTTGCTGGTAAAATAACAGGCTGTTTTATTTTTTTTAGGTCTTCAGCTGTTACCTTGTGGGAGAATTGGTGGGACCTGGGAGACCCTCCCCAGTAGAGATCTACTGGAATGAGTTTGGGTTGCAAGGCTGCCACATAGGATTTTCTGTATCCTTCCATGGACCATTGTTGCAATAGGGTGAGCTGCCAGGTGGTAGGTACACCTCTGGCTTCGTTGTAGCACCCTTCTCATGTCCTCAGCTTGATGGATTCCAACTGCAAGTACCTGCAGCTCCCTGGGAGGGAGTGGCTCTCTACACAGGACTGATGGGAGTTGGTGGATAAGCCTCCCAGCTCCTGTCCCTGGCAGGGGAACAAATCTGGAGGGTCCAACACTGAACTCCCAAAGCTCCCTAGGAGGACTGAACCCTAGTTGCCCAGAGCCATGACCTGTTTGATTATGCATCTGGACTGGCTACCTCCCCTCCCTCTCTTCCCACTCCCTTATTGATGCTTTCTGGAATCGCCACACTGCTTTATACCCCCCAATCTTCGCCTCTGGGTCTGCTGCTGGGCACCCAACCCAAGACCCTGTAGTCTTAACGGCGAGAAGAGTGGTGAGGAAACTTTGAGAAATGAGAGCACACGCTTTTCCATTCAATTTTGCCCTTTTCTCTAAAAATAGAGCTCTTTATTTAAAACAGTTTAGGGTAGGCCCCAACAAACATTAGGAAATTATCTAAATATGACATAAACATAAAATAAAATTAGAAATAACTACAAATATCTTAGAACAATATATAATCTCCTCACTACCCTAAAGAATGGGAATGTTGCTTTCACCCGGGCATCACCCGCTCTGCCCCTGACATCTTTCATGCGTGGCCCTGGAGTTCCCACTATGCAGTTCCTGCCTGCTGGGGACACGAAAGGGCTTTGTAAACAGTTCAGTGCTGAGCACACCTGACAAATGATAATATTGAATAGCATGCTCTTTCCTAAAGCTGCCCAGTTTTTTGTTTATGACTTAATGACCATAAAGGAGCTGGAGTTTAGAATTAATAGAAAGCTCAGCGTCTGTCAGAAATTAAACTTTAAAAAAATGCTTAAAAAACACACAAGCTTTCAGAACAGAGAAAGCGGTTTCTTCACACAAGCCTAAGACAATAGTGAGGATAGCTTTTAGTTATTTGGAATTTACTTCCATGAAGCAGCTCGGCTGGTTCCAGAAAGGACACTGGGCTTGGTCTGGGTGTTCTCCTAGGAACTGGCCGTGAGCCACAGCCTTCCCCAGCTCCATGGTTCCAGTTTGTTCTTCCTCTTCTGTGCTCAATCATGGACGTAGACAAGCCTCATTGCAGGGAAACCCCTGCAGAAATGCATGTATGTGTGTGAGTCCCAGCAGTGGTGAAGGCCTCCTGCCGGCCTCGTGCCCCTTGGAAACCCTTGCCGAGACCTCAGTACTGTTTACATGGCCAAGGGGACGGGGCTTGGCCCAGCTGGCCAGAGACCGACATTCTCACCCTCAGAGACGTACACAGTAAGTCAACATTTTAGCTTCCTCGTTTGAAACAAAAGACAGGTGTTCAATTTAAAAAGGGGTTTGCTAACGTTTTCTTTAGCAGTTGAAACTCCTAAGCACAATCTTACGTAGAGGGCCACTGGAGAAAATCAGGGCCCAGGGAGGCTGCTCTGGTTGCGTTGCGGGGATCCTACAGCCCACGGCTCCCCCTGAGATTGAGACGCCTCCTGTGAAGCCCAAGGCCTTTTGGGAACACAATTTGAGAACCCCTGGACCAGATGCCTTCGAGAAGCTTTTCCAGATCTTCCATTAATGTTCTACCCTTGCGTTGGCTTCAAAACAACACAGCCCCGTGGATAAAATGCTTATGAAGATGCTTTTTACACAAATGGAGGAACTTAAGTCCTGGCGGGTGAAACGGCAGAGCCAAGGATTGTTCTGATTCCTGTGGTCCCTGCAGGGCCACAAAACTGACAAAACCTTGGTCTAATGGGTGAAGACTCAGCTCTGCTCGTCCATATACTGGTGGGTGTAGGTTAATAAAGCGGTCGTTTGAGAACATCCATCATTACCCTCAGGTAAGGACAGTCACCTGTTTCCAGAAGACAGTGGTTTCTCAAAACTGGAAGAGGAAATGGGATGTCTTTACAACCACAATGGTCACCTAAAGGGTCTGAAGTGCTAAGTTGGGGATCACGGGCCCAGGGGTCCAACTCCCTGCTGGGTTGCTACCCCACCACCAATTAATCAGACCCCCTAGAAGGTGGGCCATTTGGTATTTTCTTTGCTGGGAAAAGGGAGAGGGACCCTTGGCTGGGCTCCAGCTTCTGAGAACTGTTTCCTGACCAGGAGGCAGGGGTCAGTGAGGGCAGGAGGCAGGAGAAAGACTAAAGGTGGGAACTCCAGTCACTCTGAGTTTAGGGTCACAGGTGGGAGATGCCCAGCGGTCCCCTCAGAGCCTGGGTGGATGGAGAATCCTACCAGCCACCACGTGGTGAGTGCCAATGGTGTGGCAGGCATCACACGTCTCTGTCGGAACCCTCACCGTGCCCCAGGTGGTAGCTGTAGAAAGGAGACTCGGGTACAGAGAAGGAAGGTATCTCCCCTAAGGCCACACAACTGGGAAATGGCAGAGCTGGGATTTGGACCCAGGCCTCTTTGATAATGGAAACAGTGCAATGCCTGACCCAGAGACTGGGATTTGAAGGACATGCCTTTCCTCTTCCTCTCCAACACCCTCAGCCAACTGGATTTTTCTTCACTGGGGCCCACCCTAGGGGACCCATAAATCAGGATGTCGAGCCTCGGGGAGGAGGGAGCCCAGCGGGTGCTGGAGAGAGGCGTTGAGTCCTGCTACACTTGGTGTGCCTCCGGATTTCTTCCCTCTCCAAATCCAGATGAGCCCTTGTGCCGTCAGCCTTCAATGTCCCCTGTGACCTGACCTCGCCTGTTTCATGTTGTGCAGGGATGACTTTTCCAACTGGCCTGTCACCCCAGGGACAGTGGTGTGGTCTGACACCCAACCAACCTCTGACCTCCGCCCATCCCTGTCTCCACCCCTCTTGGCTCTCGGCCCAAAGCTCGCAGGTCATAGGACGGGGTGGCTTCTGACTGCTCAACCTGGCGGACACCTCTAGCCGGGTTCCCCGAGGTGCCGTAAGAACCCGCTGCTGCCCCGGCGATGATGCTCTCAGGATTTCAAGTCTTGGTGGCATGCTGGGTCCCCAGAAAGCTCAGGAGCACCAGACTGGGAGGGACAGCTCACCTGGCCAAGTAGTGCCCCAGTGTCCTACCTCTGACCTCAGCTCACCTGGCCAAGTAGTGCCCCAGTGTCCTACCTCTGACCTCGATCCTCTGGAGGCTCTTAGCCCCGCAGCTGCCGTCACTGCTGTCCTCACTTTCTGATTCCCCCCCACCCTCTTCTTCTTCCTCGGGGCTGCTGTCCCAGCAGAAGGTCAGTGTCTGAAGAGAAACTGGGGGCTCCCTGGGAACCAGAATCAGCCCTGGGGACGGCAAGCCCCAGCTGACCCAGGAGGACGGGTTGTCTTCTGGGGGCTCTTCCAGGGAACTCGAGTCCTCGGAGAATTCGGGTGGTGGGAGAGGCTTCTGGAGCTCCTTCCCACCCGGTCCTCGGCCTGGCCTCTTCTTGGCCAAGTAGCCAGATGATCCAGCCTCGTCCCAGGTGGAGGAGCCCGCAGTACTGGCCCAGCTTCTGTCTGAAGAATCGCAAGCAGAGGAGCCTTCGACCCGGACCAGAGGAGTCCAAGGCCCTCCTGCCTCCGCCTGCCCCGGGCTCTGGTGTTCCTGCCCCAGGAAGGGGGGTGGTTCGGTGTAGGGCTGGAAGCTGACACCATCGTCCGAGCTCTCCTCGTCGGCCTCCTCCTCCTCAGCACTGTCCTCTGATCCTGCCTGGACGGTGGCTGGGGCCCTGACTCTAGGGGTCAGCCTGACCCTTCTGGTCCGTTCCTTTTGGGGACAGAGGATCAAGACATGCAGGCACTCTGGGCCACTGGGTTGAAAGGTTGCCCCGGGGTGTCTGTGTCCAGAGAGGTCCTGATTGGGGGAAGGGGGAGAAGAACAGAAGATTCAGCCTTTCTGGAAGAGTGACTGTTCTAATTTGGGTTCCCCTGGAAATAGACTCTGAGACAAGGATTCAAACGTAAGTAGTTTCTTTGGGAAGTGATCCCAGGAAGCGTCAGCAAGGCCTAGCAGCCGATAGCGGGGTGTTATCAGGCAAGTTACCCCGAGGGCAGCTGGAACTTAGCCCCGCCGGGGACATAGGCCTCAGAGCACCATCGGGTGAGGCATGGAGGGGTGGTGGCGGTGTGAATTCTCTGCCACATGCAGCTGGTGATGTGCACGGGCAGAGCGGACACCGGAGGCCAGAGAAAGCCTCCAGGTTTCAGGTGCCAGCTGCAGGAGGTGGAGCGGGTAACTTACCACATAATGGGAAGGCAGAGGGATAGGGCAAGGTGCAGACCCATCTAACACAGAGGTTGTCCTTCAGTTAGTGGGAATTCCCTGCAGGTCCCCTATCCAGGAACGTTGAAACACTCCCGTGTGGCAGGGACTCTCAGAATCCATCCTCAAAGCCCCCACCGGACCCGAGTGCCCACTGAGCCTCATCTACCACAGCCTCACTTTCCAGGCCTTCATCTGAACAAGTCTGACCTCTCCAGGTTTCCCCTGTCCCAGCTGGCCCCAGGTTCTAAGCAAGCGAGCTGGCAGACAGGTGGGGAAATTCCAGCGTCTGCCTGGGCAAGACTGACCCTTGGTTAGATTGTGAATGAAGTGCTGGGACCCTTTTAAGATGTCCCCTTTAGGTGCCACCCTCCCGCCTCCCCTCTGGGCATCTCTCCTGAAGCATATTTGCTATTTTAATTTAGTGCCAAAGGAATGAATTACTAATGGTGAAAATTTAGACAGGAAGATAGATGTTTCGCAGTCTGGGCCATCTTGATATTCTAGCTGAACTATCTCTAAGTCTAGCTCCACTTCCTTGCTCTTCGACAACGCTCCCTCTCTGTCGCACACCCCCAGATTTGCCATACCAGGGCCTGTGGCATCTTTGCCTGATGAAACCAGGGGTTCCCCCTGAAGCTCTTCCAGATCACAGGCCCCGTGGCAACGACCAACAACAGTGGCAGCAGAAGGGGTAGCAGTACCAGGAGTGCCCAGTTGGATCCTAGGAAGAAAAACATAATAACAACTAGAGAAGCAGGGGCTCCTGTCTATCAATGGCATCTGTGCCGTGGGCTTCACGTACATTATCCTATTTAATCCTCATCAGAGTAAACCCGTCCTACAGGGTGTGGAAAGCAGTGTTCAGAGAGGTTATGTAAGCTGCCCAAAGATACAGTGAGTGGGGTGGAGCTGGGATTTTAATCGAGGTGAGTCTGTCTCTAGACTTGTGCTCTTAACCACCATATTATGAAGATCCTAACGCCTAGCGGAAAAGTTCCCACTTCTGTACCACTTTGCACACACCTGGGGCCTCCAGGAAGAAGCAGGTGGGCTCAGAGAACTTGCTGTATTTAGGGGAGCCAAAGGTGTATATAGTTCTGGCGCTGAGGCAGTGGTGTCCGCTGGTGTCTGGTTGGAGAGAAATCTGGACTGGCTGGCCATGGGGAGTGGCTGGAAAACTGGCCTGTTTGGAGAGAGAAGCAGAGGCGGGTGGACCTGCTGGGGGGCGCTGGCTCCATGCAGCCAGAACAGGGTGGGGTTGGCAGGACACAGCGGTGACTCCTACACCTTTTCTTGCATTAAGGCTTAAGCATTCAGGGAGCACGTCCCCACACTCTCTGGTTTCTCTTCCATGGAGTTTCGAGGTAGAGATGGTCTGGGTTCAAAAGCAGCCCTGCCACTCAGGGTCACTCCCATGCACACCCCACCAGGGCCCACAGGCCCTCACTTTCAGGGACAGATGCCTCAGCCTTCCTGCCCTCAGGGCGTGTCAATCAATTAGGGCGGGGGCGGTGGTCACTCAGCCATTACAGACACAGAAAACTCTAGGGCTGCCTGTCTAACACAGTAGCCACTGGCCACAGGTGGCGCTTGAGCCCTTGAAGTGTGGCTGGTACCAACCGAGATGTGCTCTAAGTGTAAAATACACACTGGCTTTCACGAAAAAAGAACATAAAACATCTCAGTAATTTTTATATTAACTACATGTTGAGAAGATAACATTCTATTGGATGAAATAAAACCTACTATGAAAATAAATTCACTTGTTTCTTTTTACTTAATTTAATGTGGAACGCTTAAATGACACGATGTGGCTTGCATTATGTTTCTACTGGACAGTGCTGGTTGAGAATATCTGTGAGGTTCTTGAAGGTGAGGACCACATCGGATGAAGATCTATCAATGTGTCTCTGGGATCCAGAGTGTGCAGGAGGTTAGGAGTGGGAGCGTTGGTTCGGTAAAAGACAGAATGGACAAGAATGGGGGTCCGTAGACTACAGCCCCATCTTTTTTTTTTTTTTTTTGTGGTACGCGGGCCTCTCACCGCCGCGGCCTCTCCCGTCGCGCAGCACAGGCTCCGGACGCGCAGGCTCAGCAGCCATGGCTCACGGGCTCAGCCACTCCGCGGCATGTGGGATCTTCCCGGACCGGGGCACGAACCCGTGTCCCCTGCACCGGCAGGCGGACTCCCAACCACTGCGCCACCAGGGAAGCCCCCATCTTTTGTTTTAAATAGAGTTTTCCTGGAACACAGCTATGCCTGTTCATGTACCTATTTACTTATGGCTCCTTTTGTGTTACAGATGGAGTTGAATAGAGGTGACAGACGATAAGGCCTGCAAAGCCAAAAGTATTTACTATCTGGCCAATTACAGAAAAAGTTTGCCAACCCCTGCCATAAATAAATATATACAGACATATGCACACGCATACACAGAAACAAGTCTGAAATTGGATATATACCACATAGTTATTTGCGATCATCTCTGTGTACTGTTGGTTTTCTTCCTAGAATTTATCTGTATTTTCTAGGTTTTTTTTCTAATGAATCTGGTGGCTTAACAAGTAGGCTAAGTAGGTTCTTGGAGCCTGTCATACT